GTGGAGAAAAAGGAACCCTCAAGCACTGCTGGTGAGAATACTCTAGTGGTGGGAATGTAAATTGGTACAGCCACTATTGGAAAGCAGTATGGAGATTCTTCAAAAAAAAGTAAGAACAGAGCTACCATGTGGCCCAGCAATCTCTCTTCTGGGTATCTATAATACCAAAAACAAAACAAAACAAAAACAAAAACAAAAAAAAACACAAAAACAAAACACAAAAACAAAAAACAACACTTGAAAACACTATTTATAAAGATATTAGAGGCCCGATGCACAAAATTCGTGCAAGAGTAGGCCTTCCTGCCCCTGGCTGCTGGCACTGGCTTCCCTCTGACATCCAGGACTCGGGCTTCCTTTGCAGCCCTGGATTCATCTGGAAGGTTGTCCTGAAGGACATCTGGTCTAATTAGCATATTATGCTTTTATTATAGATATGTACCCCTATGTTCTCTGAAGCATTATTCACAATAGCCAAGACATGCAAACAACCTAAGTGTCCTTCGAGCAATGATTGAATGAAGATGTGGTACATGAATACAATGAAATACTACTCAGTCATAAAAGATAACAAAATATTTGCGACAACATGGATGGATCCTTAGAGTACCAAACTAAGTGAAATAAGTCAGACAGTAAAGAACAAGAACCATATAAAGTCATTGATTGTGGGAAATAAAACATCAACAAATAAATAAAACAAAGAAACTCATAGACATGAAAACAGTATGGTAGTCCCAGAAGGGAAGGGGTGAGGGAAAATGAAGAGGGTAAAGGGGATCAAATATATGGTGAGGGAAGGAGACTAGACTTTGGGTGGTAAGCACACAATGCAATATACAGATGATGTATTATGAATTTGAATACCTAAAACTTATATAATGTTATTCACTAATGTTACCCCAATACCTTCCATTTTTATTTTTAAAATATATTTTTATTGATTTCAGAGAGGAAGGGAGAGGGAGAGAGAGATAGAAATATCAATAAGAGAATATCATTGACTGGCTCCCTCCTACATGCCCCACACTGGGGATCAAGCCCCAAACCCGGGCACGTGCCCTGACCAGGAATTGAACTGTGACCTCCTGGTTCATAGGTCGATGCTCACCACTGAGCCATACCAGCTGGGCAATATATTCAATTTTTAAAAAGAATAAAGAGAGGATTAATATGACTGACACATGGTAGGTGCTGGAGGGAAAAATTAGAAAGATGACATTTGAGAGGTAAATGGGCATGCTATGAATTCAAGCAGGGATCCCTGCAAACACTAGTTCATGGCCTCTTTTCTATGAACTGGTTTTCTTGGCCAGGGCACTATCCTATATATGATGAAGCAGAAGGCATTCTAAGTCCATGAATGTTGGCATTGGCTAAGTTATGATAGGCAAGGAAAGCAGACCCAAATTCGGAACAACATCCATTTCCATGAAAACAAATCAAGCTTCGCCCCAGTGAAATGAACTTGCCACCATGAGGCTGCTGGCCTCGGGTGTGTTTTACATTGTGTTCACCCACAAGCCAACACTGAGACAAGAACTTGTGCTCAGATGACCCTGCAAGCACCTGGCTGCTTTGTTCTTAAGCTCTGTGGCCCAATCCTCAAAGTTCATTGGCAAAGCCCTTCCCAAAACCTTCACAGCAATTTCCAATGCTGCTCTTTTCAAGTCTGACATGTAGCCAGTGACTGGTGACAGAGCCGGACTCAGGTCATGTCTCCTTGCAGTCAAAATACATAAAAGGCAATGCCTGAAAGCCTGCCTCATTCCTGCTGAAATCCTGCCCTCTGCTGTCCTTCACAGCAGCTGCTGATAGGGGGTGTGATTCACAATAGGAGACTTCCAGCTGGTAGTGCATCTTGCTCAACATCTATAAACCAGACTTGACTTTTATTGTCCTCACTTAATTGGCCAACAACTCTTCACCAGGGCAAAGGAACAGACTGGCCATGACAAGGTGTGGAAATAGTGTTGTCAAAAGCACATAGTGGGAAGAAATCTGCTTACACAAACTAAGTGCCTTAATGGCCTGCTCTGGCCCCATTACGAGGTGATGGAGTGTTACTGGACATGGTCCACTCTATGAGTAGGTGGGTTAGATAGCATCTTGCGTCCCATGGTTTCCAACACACTTAGTAGCTTGTCAAAGCTGCTTCTGAAAAGGAAAGTAGTCATCTTCCTTAGGATTAGCCTTGCTCCCCAATCCTGTGTGCTTCCATGATTTTCTGGAGAGATTTGTTTCTGATTTCACTAGGTCTCCCAGGTATTTTGAGAGGGCTGAGGAGCAGACCTGCTTAGATTGCAGCCTAGACCTCCTATAGAGAATGCTTTGCACTTGCAGGTTCTTAGGTCACCTAGAAAATAAATCTGCGAAACACTCATGTGCCATATGCTGTCTCTACCACAAGGTGCTGTGCTTTTCCTAGTTGTAGAAGGGGCAAGATGTAGCAATGTATCCTTACCACAGGAGGGGGTATCACCACAGGTACTAGAACACTGAATCCCTGGAGATATTACTAAGCAGTCAAGTGTCTATACCTCTATGAGATTCAGAGTTTATCCTTTGAATACATGACTCTGGCATGGTATTTGTGTTTGGTGATGCATTAAATGTCCTCATGTAGCACACAGCTGGAGTTGGCATCTGTGGGACAGACTTATAAAGCTATTTCTGTCCCTAGCAGGTAAAAGCAAACTGCTAGTGGACTCTGCTAACTAAAAATGCAGTGGTTAGACCAATAATTACATATCAAATGTAACTAAGGCTGTGAACTAAGTTAACCTTGGTTAATTAAGGCTGTTCTAAGATGCTCCAATAGAGACCATTTCAGGAACAGCAGCTGTAATTCGGATCACCTCAAGATTAAGTTTTAATGCAGAGTCCACTGTCATTTCCAAGAGCTATCAATCTTTCTCACTGGTCAAACAGAAATACACTCTACATTCATGGACTCTCCACTTGGGGCTATGACAGGTTACCTCATTTGTATCTTTCTATCCTCTAATGGTTGTACAACTTCTGTAATTACCCGCAAAGACATACTACTTTTTTACTTAGTATTTTGGAGGAACAGAATGCTCCAATGTCTTCCCCTTGGCCCTTCTACCACAGAGCACTTACTCCTTGGGGCAGGGAGCTAATGGAGAGATTCTGCAAAGGATGTGTGTCCTATCTACACTTAGGAACTGAGGAAATGGATCTGGGTGATGAAGGTGGTGGGGACAAGTCCATTGTCCAGTTTCCCTCCCATGACCTCTAGTCTGACCAGGAGTCATAGTCTTCTCAGTCCCCCCATAACTTAGAATAAGTATCCACAGATCCCTAAAAACTTTGGATATTTCTCATTTCTGACTGCATATCACCTAAAGAAATAGCTAGGTGAAAGATTCATAACACACATCTCTATTGTTATAGCAAAGGCCCTTAAAGTGTTCTGGTCCTGAGAATTGCTCAACATCTATAAGCCAGGCTTGACTTTCATTATTCTCAGTTAATTGAATCACCCAGGAATTGAGAAGCTGTGATCTTCTGGCTTGATTTAAGTGTCTGTTACACAGACCTATCAAGTTGGCTTAAAAAAAAAAAATCAGGTTAAAACTGCTGTTACTTTCATGCCTGACTCTTAAGATTACCTAACCACAGTAAGAGATTGTGCAAATGGAACATTTCCTAATTACTACCTTTCCATCTTCTCCCTCCCCATGAAGCCCACCTCCCCTGCCCCTCTGCCCCCCCCCTCGTTTTTTTCTTGTAGCAGGTGACCCTCCAACATGCTTGACCCAGAAAGAACAGCAAGCCAGGACGACAGAATTTCCAATTGCTCACTTTAGGCCCGCTTTAGGCCCTGGCAGAAAAGTTATTGAAGTGGCAGAAGACAGAGTATGTGAAATCTCAATCTAGCACTGGCCAACTTTTAGTGTTTGGTCCTGCTCTACACTGGTCTATCAGCAAATTGCAGACAGCTGCCCAAAACAGCACATGGAATTTAGCATCTCCTGAGGGTCCCAAATTCAATTGGATCCAGCTAAGCAGTGAGGCTGTGAGAAAACTGGTTTCCTATAATTGAGAAAAACTTTCAGAACTAGTTTGGTATGTTTTCTTTAGCTCAGTAGTGCACAACCTGAGCTGCAATGGAACCATTGGGTTGAAGCCCTCAGAGATGCTGGTTTAATAGCTTGGGCCTCTAGAGCTTAAAAATTGCCTGAGGTGATGTTAAAGTGCACTCAAGGACTTTCTAGCTCCTGCCCCATATCCCTATACCAACATCAGGACCCCACTCTATTCCAAAATCTATTCTAATAAAGGAATAATATGCTAATTAGTCCAGAGACCTTCCGGACATACTTATGGACAAAGCCATTGTGGCGGGGCCAAGGATCACCCAAGGTTAGGGGTGATCAGGCCAGGAGGGGAGGGCAGTTGGGGATGATCAGGCTGGCGTGTGGGCGGGGGGACAGTTGGGGGCTAGTAGGCCAGCAGGAAGGGCAGGCCAGTGGGGGGGCAGTTAGGGGCAATCAGGCTAGCAAGGGAGGGCAGTTGGGGGAGAGAAGGCTGGCCGGGGGACAGGTGGGGGCGAGCAGGCAAGCAGCAAGCAGGCAGAGTGGTCAGGAGCAATCAGGCAGGCAGGTGAACAGTTAGGAGCCAGTGGTCCTGGTGCATTCTTTTTTCATCACCAGTGTATTGTTCTACAGTGGCAGCTAAGCAGTACCCAAGGACCTTATCCTCAGCTTTAGGTCTTCCCTCATCAATCAGCTGTGATAGGGAGGCAGGGTCACAAAGCACAGACACGGCCCCGGGTAAGGAGAACTGTAAACCAGCACCCACCCCAACAGAAGTCTACTTCAATTACCCACATCTGTAAGCCTCTATTTTGCAACTGATAAATAACAAGGGCAAAAAAACATTGTTTAATCAAATTATTTTAATTAACAGTAAGCAGTAAAAGTGCAATTACATGAAAAGCCTCATATTTTACATGTTTAAATCGTTCAGTATCTTTATTTGTAAGGTGTTGAAGGTGGGACCCACTCGTGAATCTTCTTTCTAGTGGTGGAATAAGGTACATATTGCTCTGAAGTGCCACTCAGGTTGAATTTATGGTTTGTCCAAATGAATTTACGAGCAGTCGGTGGTTTTGTTGTTGGAGGATCATCAGTCATACAGTGAAGCCAACGGTGCCTTAAAGAGGGGAAAGAAGACAGTTAGGAAGAGGCAGCGCAATGTTGGGGGAGGAAGGCTAAGAGGGCAGCTCTGGGGCTATTTTGTTGCTTGAGCTCAAATCATTAACAACTGAACTTTTTTTTATAACTTAGTTATTTCATCTGATCATCTTATTTCCTAAAGAGGGATAAGGATTAAATGAGATAATACATATAAAGCACCTAGAAAAATTCCTGTGCATAGGAATTCAACAAATGCTAGCTTACTGTATTTCATCAAATCTGGAACAACATCTATTTTAAGATACACCATTATTTTATGTACCTCTAAAAATTAAAAAAATGCTGCCAATTAAATTATAACACTATTAATAGAATATGTAAAAAATGTTAGAAAATTGATGAACTATAGTATCACTATGAGATGCCCAAGGCTGACTGGAGTTCCTGTGTGCTGAGTTGCTCTGCCTCATGAAGCTGTAGTTGGAAACCCAATGCTGAGGAAAAGGAAGAGGAAGAGGGTCTCAGCATGCACCTTAAATTCAAGGTTAAGTCTGAACACTGGAGAACATAACATCTATTACCTTAAAATTATTAAATCACAGTTTACAAGTACTTCAGCTTTAAGTGTTTAACCATTTAATTTCAAAGGACATTTGCCAGGAGGTGCCAGAAATCTGGCCTGAAGGAAGCTGGGTGCTTTCCTTGGAGTCTACAGGGGAATGTCACTTTAATGACAGAGAAAGGAAGAATCTATGTCCAAGGGACAAAGAGTCGAACTGAGCAGGAAGCCACGCTGAATATTATGGGAAAGGAAGGAGAGAGAACTCATCCCAGATCCCCCAAGGCTCAGAGCTCATAATACAGATATGACCCTAAAACAACAGGGAATGAGGAGACAGGCATAGAACTGCAGCTCCGATTAAAAAAAAAAAAAGAAAAAGTTGACTAGCTACAGAGAAAAGGGTAAGAGGAGGTTTCACTAAAATAATTAAGACTAAACCTAATAAGAAAAATTTATGATGTTACGTATGTTCAAGAATATTTATTAGCAATAATTGATAATACTTAAAATCTGAAAATGTTTACGCAGTAAGGCTACTGAAGAGTCAGGGAATAAGTAAACAATTTATTCTCATCATGGCAGTGTAAGGAACTAAGAAACAGGCTAACATAATCCTTCTGCTACAATTAGTATTAAATAAAGGCTAAAGAAATAATATGATTTCCACACCAAAGAATTTTCAGCTGGGTCATTTTTATTCCAATTAATTAAAGACACCATTGGACTAACAGCACTGTCCTGAAAACTATGTTACAGTTGGCTTGAGAGCTTCAATTTTATGTCACTGCTATTTTTCTTAAAGGACAAAATACAAAATTACTTAAACTTGATGATAAAGGCAGTGAGACTACAAACGAGGACCCTGGGAGAAAGGCAAAATACCAAAGAGATAAATATAATGAAAATATAATACATTTTGGGAAAAACTCAGTACTCAAATATAAGTTGTGTCAAAATAACTGGAAACAAAGATATTAAATGACAATTATATACTAAGCTACTGTAAGAAAGAACTCTTTACCATTTGCAACAGCATGGATGGATCTGGAAAGCATTATGCTAAGTGAAATAAGCCAGTCAGAGAAAGATAAATATCACATGCTCTCACTCATTTGTGGAATATAATGAACAACATAAACTGATGAATAAAAATAGATACAGAGACATAGAAGCATTAAACAGACCACGAAACCTCAGCAGGAAGGCAGGAGAGGGTGTGTGCATTGGGGGGTGAGGATGGGGGGAGGGTAAGAGATCAACCAAAGGACTGGTATGCATGCATATAAGCATAACCAATGGACACAGATAGTAGGGGGATGAAGGCATGTGCTGGAGGGCAGGAGCAGGTGGGGAGAGGTCAATGGAGGAAAAAGGAGACATAGGTAATACTTTCAACAATAAAGAATTCAATTTAAAAAAAATTACAACACAACTCAAATGAAAATAAATCCAACAAATGGTTGATCCTTTTTTCAGCTGTATAAGAGAAAAAAGTGTGTCAGGGAACAGGGAAGACTAGTCCTTTCTTTTTGAATATATACTAACTTCACTTAAATAGCCCCTCAGTTTGGGTGCATTCAAAGTGCAAAATGAAGGGTTTATTTTGAAAATCAGTGCAAATGAAAACAGTCTTTAAGATTAGAATTAATAACCAAAGTTAAAAAGTTTAATTTTTCCCCCTAGCTAGTTTGGCTCCATGGATAGAGCGTCGGCCTGAGGACTGAAGGATCCTGGGTTTGATTCTGGTCAAGGGCACATGCCTGGGTTGTGGGCTTGATCTCATGAGGGGCATGCAGGAGGCAGCCAATCAGTGATTCTCTCTTATCATTGATGTTTCTATCAATCTTTCCTTCTCCTTTTCTCTCTAAAATCAATCTATATATATAAAAGCCTTGCCAAAACCAGTTTGGCTCAGCAGTAGAGCGTCGGTCTGCAGATTGAAGGGTCCCAGGTTCGATTCTGGTCAGGGGCATGTACGTTGGTTGCGGGCACATCCCCGGTAGGGGGTGTGCAGGAGGCAGCTGGTCGATGTTTCTCTCTCATCGACGTTTCTAGCTCTCTATATCTCTCCTTTCCTCTCTGTAAGAAAAATCAATAAAATATATTAAAAAAAAAAAAAAAAAAAAGCCTAAGTGACTGTCCAACCATTCAACAGGTAGCTATGATGCACAATGACCAGCAGGAGGCAGATGCTCTAACCAGTAGCTATGACGTGCAGACCACTAGGGGGCAGATGCTCAATGCAGGAACTACAGAGCTGCAGTGACTTGGCAGCTGCAGTTCTTGGGTGACGCACCCAGAACCAGATGGGGTTTGTCATCTGAGAACTGCCCTCTTGCAATCCGAAACCCCTTGGGGGATGTCGGAGAGCCAGTTTTGGCCGGATCCCCACAGGCCAGGCAGAGGGACAAATGTGTGCACCCGGCCTCTAGTAAAAATATATTTTATTATATTTTAATTATTCTTTTCAGGAAATAAAACATTACCAAGTAACTGCTAATAACAATAATAAAAACAGGCAGTTTTAAATCTTTCTTTTCCTTAGATAACATTCTTAATTTTGAGAATCAAGACTGGTTTGTGACCATAATGTCCATGTTTCAGATGTTTTAACTGAGCCTAGAAATGCCAAAGGTTTTTCATTTTTTCAAAAAATAAATAAGAAAGTCTAAAGAAAAACTCCAGAATATGTTTTGAGGCAAAAATACTCTCAGACTAAAACTTATATTACTCCCTCAGACTTCAGTTTGTGAAACATTCTTACACACATCACTTAGACACGATTTAATGTTTCACATATTAAAACTGAGGAAGCAGAATTGAAATGACTTTCATGTATGTGAGTTACAGAGCTGAGACTTGAACACAGCTTCCCACTGGTGAAGCAAAACCTTTGAACAGAAACTTCATTACAATCAGTAGATGAAAACCAGATTAGGATTTCAATAGCAAATAGGTATCTGCCAAAATCCCGAGACTCATCTAACCCCAGAATGGGATTAATAAATTTAACAAATTTTAAAAACAAAGATAGCTCATTACAAAATATCCAACTCAAACTCTGTTAGCTCAGTAACCATTTTTAATTAAATGCAAATTGAATTAAAATACCAATAGGATTTGACAATTATAAGAATCAGCAGAAGTCTAAGAACTAGGTTTTTAAAATTTGGAACTGTAACCAATAAATATTCATTTTAAACCCAAGTTGCCATTAATCTTTTTTTACATATAATAGCCCCCTGACACTAAAAATCTCAAACTGGCAAACAGAATAGTGAAATGGGGAAAACATCTGTGCTATATTAAGTGAGGAGAGGGGAAAGCAAACATCATATCATGCATAATAAACTGATATATGCAGAATGGACAAAGGTAGGTTTACAGTTGTAAGTATGGGAAACACAGTTTATTTTTGTATTATTATCTACTAGAGGCCTGTGCACCAGTGGATTCCTGGGCCTGACCTGTGGGATCAGGCCGAAACCAGCTCTCTGACATCCCCCGAGGGGTCCCAGATTGTGAGAGGGTGCAGGCCAGGCTGAGGGACCTCACTGGTGCATGACTGCTGGAGGCTGGTCAGCCAGGGAGGGACCCAAGGAGAGCTCCTGGGTGTGTCTGGCCCATCTCGCTCAGTCCGGATTGGCCGGAACGCAGGAGCAAGCTAACCTATCAGTTAGAGCATCTGCCCCCTAGTGATCATTACAAGTCATAGTGAGTGGTTGAGCGGCCTTAGCATATCATTAGCATATTAGGTTTTGATTGGTTTAATGGATGACCAGACATGCAGCATTAGGCTTTTATTATATAGGGTTACTTATTGTATTACTTTCTATACAGACAAATGTAAATTCACTTTCGCACACCCTGTATGCATATATACTCATATATGTGCCTATACACAGTTAATTATAATCACAAACTTCTAAGAAGGTGTGACCAAAAACAACAATCTATTCTTTAAAAACATTCCTTCTCTATTCAAAAGCAGACCCTCACATATTTGTTTAATCAATAAATGAAATTTTAACAGTGCTTGTTTCTGGGATTAGGAACTAGAGTTTATTTTGCTTTCTAATTTTATTTCTCTGGATTTTCCAAGTTTCCTATAACAATTATAAATTTTTATAATCAGAAAAAAAATTAACCATGATTATAAGGATTGTTTTAGTAACATAGAAAATTTCTTATAATATCTAGAGGGAAAAAAAAAACAAGATAAAATTGGCTATCATTATGAACACAACTACAATAAAAATTATTTAAAAAGGACTAAAGGAAATATGCTAAATGTTGACAGAGGTTGTCTCTGCCAGATTCTTTAAACTTTTTTTTTATCCTTCCACATTTCATTCCAGTCAAATTGGCCATATTGCTGTTCTTTGTGTGTTTTTTTTTTTAATAAATTTTTATTGTTCATATTATTACAAATGTTCCTTTACCCCCTCCCCCACTTCATTGCTCTCCTCCACCAGGTTCCCATCCCACCCTCTGCCCTTTCCCCAGCCCCCATTGTCCTCATCCATAGGTGCAGAGTTTATGTTCAGTCTCTTCCCACACCCCACACTCCTTTTCCCCAAGAATCGTCATTTCACTCCCCTTCCATACCTCTGATTCTATTATATTCAACAGTTAATATTGTTCATCAGATTTTTTTTTTTAATTTCCTTGGTTTTTAGATTCACTTGTTGATAGTTACGTATTTGTTGTTCATAATTTTTATCTTTATTTACCTTCTCTTCCGAAAGAACCCCCTTCAGCAATTCATATAATTCTAGTTTGGTGGTGATGAACTCCTTTAGCTTTTTTTTATTAGTGAAGCTCTTTATCTGGCCTTCAATTCTGAGTGATAGCTTTGCTGGGTAGATTATCTTTGGCTGTAGGTTCTTACTATTCATCACCTTGAATATTTCTTGCCATTCCCGTCTGGTTTCTGTTGAGAAATCAGCTGACAATTGTATAGGTGCTCCTTTATAGGTAACTACCTGCTTTGCTCTTGCTGCTTTTAATATTCTCTGTCTTTTGCTCTTGGAATTTTAATTATGATGTGTCTTGGTGTGGTCCTCTTTGGATTCCTTTTGTTTGGAGTTCTGTGCACTTCCTGGACTTGTAAGTCTAATTCTTTCCCCAGGTGGGGGAAGTTTTCTGTCACTATTTCTTTCAGTATGTTTTCGATATCTTGCTCTCTCTCATCTTCTGGGATCCCCATAATTCTAATGTTGGTTCGCTTGAAGTTGTCCCAGAGGTTTCTTACATTATCTTCAATTTTCTGGATTCTCTTGCCTTCTAGCTTCTGTGGAGGAGTGTCTTCTGGCTCTTTATGTTCCAAATCTTTGACTTGATTCTTGCGATCTTCCATTCTGTTTTTTGGACTCTGTATAATATTTTTTATTTCAGACAATGTATTCTTTATTTCTTGTTGATCCCTTATCATTTCTCGTTGATTCCTTATTAATTCTAGTTGATCCCTTTTCATATCCTCATAGGTCTTATCGACCTTTTCTAGGAAATTCTTGAAAAAACTTGTAAGCGTAGATTTGAACTCTATATCCAGTCGCTTTTTGTCCTCCATTTCTTTCGTTTGTGATCTATTTTGTTGTCGCATTTTCACAGCTTCCCTGATGGGGCGGGGTTTCAGGGTGGAGCCTACAGCCTTGGCTTCCGTCAGCCCCGCCCTATGCAGTTCCTGAGCCTCAGGGTCCTTCTGTATTCGCTTCAAGCGCCTCTGAGAGAAAGGTGCCCTTGATTTTCGCCTGCTACCAAACAGTCTAGGCTCTCCCCCAATGAGCCCGGAACTGGGGTTTAGTTCAGTTGGAAGTGGAGTTGGAGGTGGTGTTCAGAGCACTCTGGAGCTCCTGTCTCCTTCCCGCCAGAGCAATCCCACGGCACAGCCAACCGTCCCTTCTCTGCATGCAATGTGCGTGCCTCCAGGACTTCCTTTTGCCGCTCCCCTGGGGTTCCGCCTTACAGCCCAGCTCCCTATGGATGAGCCTGGGTCCCCGGGGTCTGGCCTAGAACTGGGGTTCAGAGCAGTCAGAACTGGGGCCCAGCACAGTCGAAGCTTTTATCTCCTTCCCGCTAGGGAACACCAGCCAGGCACTCAGCTGCCCCTTCTCTCCGGCTCTGTCCTCTCAGCGCGCCATGTGTCTCCGTACCTTAGGCTTTTACAGTTCCTCTGCGCTTCCTTCTGGTTTTCTCCTTGTTTCTTGTTGTAGAATTTCCAGTCAGTCGACTTTCCTGTAGTTCTGGGTAATGTCTATTTTATATTTTAGTTGTATTTTATTGAAATTGTTGTGTGCGGCTGTGGATAGGTGTTTACCTGTGCAGCCTTCTTGGATTCTCAATCTCACTCCATATTGCTGTTCTTTGAATACAAGCAATACATCTCAAGCACACAGGGCTTTTGTACTTGATTCCTGCTGCATGGAGCTCTTCACCACCACCACCCCACCCCTCTTCTCCTCCTCTCTTCATTTCTTGAAGAAGTCTTTACTAACTGTCCACGCTCTTTATCCCTATATGAATGCCAGCTTCACATTATCGTCTTTGTGTTTATTGTTGCCTAAAACATATAACATATTTATTTTTCTGTCTGAGAGCAAGAACTTTGTTTTATTCACTGTTGTATCCCCGGGGCCTGCAATAGGACTGTGCACCTGATAGGTATACAATAAATAATTATTTGAATGCATAAAGATGTTAAACTGTATGTGTTATTCATTATTCTATGTGTAAGATAATACCTGGCTCTAATAAATCAACCCTACTTCAAACTTATTCAGGAATAAAATCACAGGTAAGAATCCACAGATTTAGAATTCCACAATACATGACACTCGGCAAAAGGGAGTCTGAGAAACAAACAGCTGTGGTTGTCTCACATCACTTTTTCCCACAAAGACTAATCCCAGGCCTTTAAACTTCCCTTACGAAGGGGTCATTGAAGGTACTCAGCCTTGAGAGGAGGCTCCACTCCACAGAGAAATTCAGCTCTACATCCTCAACTGCCCTCAGACACCTGCTGGAGTGCTGTCTGCTACCACTGTCCACTTTTCCCATGTGATGCCAGAATATATGAAAGGGCTTGCTTGGCTGAACAACACTTTTATCTCTTCATAACTTGTACTATTTTCTAATTTCAAATTTGATTCATCTCACATAATTTAAATCAGTTCCCTCCCCCACGTCCTACTCTCCCAAAATACAGAACCTGAGCACCAAGGTTTGAGGAGTACTCTGAAGGAGATAGATCTCAATGTGAACAAAACACCCACCTGCTTTCTACATCTTCTCAGGACCAATCCCTCCCCCCCCCCCCCAAAAAAAAAAAAAAAAAAAAAAAAAAACAACTGGGACACCTCACTTTCTAAAGCCAATAATCCACTTTGAGACCTTGGTGGAGAAGGCATTCTGTATGCCTTCTCCAAAGGGGCATACAGAATGCCCCTTTGGAGAAGGCAGACAGCTCTAAACCTAAAAGCACAGCTCCCAGATCTTAACAGAACCACATGTTATTATTTCCCATTAAAAAGAGGAAATCCAGCCTCAAATGTAGCATCAGTGCTGCTGTTAAGAGCCAATGAGTTTTAGTATAGACATAATCCACATCCATGTCATGGTTCAATGCTCCTAACTGGTCCACATGGCAGACGAGGTTAAAAACTGGCTAAAGTGAAATCCTATAAACATTTTTGCTTAACTCACACAATAAAAAACAAACAAATAAGAAGAAACCTATTCGGAACAATCAAATAGCCTATTTAGTATAAATAAAATTAAAAATTCACTTCCTTAGTCACATTTCAAAGGGACATATATGGCTAGTGGCTACCCTACTGATCAGAACAGATACAGAACATCCAGCCATGTGTTAGACAGTGATGTATTTAAATTGACAAATATTTTAAGTTAACATATAAAAAACAAGAAATCTCACCATAAAATACAGATTTCTACTTTCTATTGAAAACCATTTATCTGGAAACCGTTAGTCAAATTCTCACCTAATGGAACTGAGGAAGGATGAATAGTGCTGCCCTCTTTGATGTAGTGTGTGCTTTTCAGTTCACTATAGTCCTCACTTTCCTTATTGTCTCACATCTCACTCCCTTTGGTTAAATTCGTGGGTTTCTAATTGAGCTTTTACAATGGAAGTGAATGCACTGAGATTATCCCACTTGCCAAAAACTATTTCTGATGATTAAGCTCAACTAAAATAAAATGTCAGTTAACTTGATAAACTTACAAATGGTATTATTTCAGCAATCTATGGAATAGAGATCAGTACTTTGTTTTGAAATATTTAATATAAAATTTGGCAATTCAAGTAAAAACATTAGAATTTCATTTCAAAATGTTTATGTAGTTTATAGTTATAAAAATCAGTTTTTAGAGATCTAAGGAACTTGGGGCTCTCTTTTTACAGGTGAGAAAACTAAGTCCCAGGGAGGTTAAGGAACTTGCTTAGGGTCGAGCTGCCAAAGAAGACTAGAGGCAGAGTTCTTTTTGCTTTTCCCTTAACCTACAGCCAGGTGATACTGTGGAATATTGTTTTTTCCCCCCAAATCAGCCACACCACTATCTATCCCAACAAATAATATGTTGTAACACCTCCATCAAGAGATAGGGTCTATGTTCTCTCCCATTAAACCTGGGCAGAATATCTAATTGCTTCGACCAATGAAATGAGAAACTGATATTGGGCGATCTCTAAGACTAAGTGTGGACAAGGACTCTCTCTCTCTCCTCTCTCTCTCTCTCTCTCTCTCTCTCTCTCTCTCTCTCTCTCTCTCACTGATATTGGGCGATCTCTAAGACTAAGTGTGGACAAGGACTCTCTCTCTCTCTCTCTCTCTCTCTCTCTCTCTCTCTCTCTCTCTCTCTCTCTCTCTCTCTCAGCACTTGCCAGCTATGTCCCCAACTCTGACAGTCAACATCAGCTTCCAGAAACTGAATGAAGCCTTCAGATGGCTTCATTCTGTTTTTAAATCTTGCACCTAAGACCAGATACCCTAGAGTAGAGATAAGCCATCCACAAGTTGAATCTAAATTCCTGACCCACAAAAACTATGAAATATATACCTGAGTCCGATGCTTTCAGAATACCATTAATTGTCTTATAAATAAATAAGCTATTTAATAAATATTTGTATAATAAAACAAACATTGCCAAACCCCCTCATAGCCCCCTCCAACCAAAAAAAGAGAATGACTTAGCTTACCACTCTGGGGGCACCATGCTTCCATCCACATCCCAGAATGTATCTTTGCCATTCATTTCAGTAGTGTATATAACCCATCGGTGACGGCCTGAGTGGGAAGGACAACATTAGAAAAATGTGAAAAAATAAACACAACTTTAAAAGAAAACACAAAAAACCATAATTGCAAAATGTCAAAGAAGACAACCTTTTAATTACGACTTATATGTGCGCTTACCTAAGAGAAATAGCACCCAGGCTGTAAGAGTGAAGGCAAGTTCCAGGAAGTGTATGGCAAGCTTTTATCAAACCCTGGCAGCTGCCAGAGCTAAATCCCTGCACAGGGACTAAGACCTCTCTGTGGGTGGGGCTCAAGCCTTTCCCACAGTGGAGAACCCTTGCCTCTACCCATGCCAAGAAAGCAATGGAGAGGGTAGGAGAATGGGCTCCCAGCCAGCCAGGGTATTCAGGAGAGAAAGTGCTCCTCCTGAGAATAGGGCAGGAGAAATGTATTGTACTCACAGCAATCATACTTGGATTATATGTTTCCATATAAATATATATATATTTAAATATATTTTATTGATTTTGTACAGAGAGGAAGGGAGAGAGATAGAGAGTTAGAAACATTGATGAGAGAGTCATCAATTAGCTGCCTTTGCACACCCCCTGCTGAAGATATGCCCGCAACCAAGGTACATGCCCTTGACCGGAATCGAACCTGGGACCTTTCAGTCCCCAAGCCAACGCTCTATCCATTGAGCCAAATCGGTTTCGGCCATATAAATATTTTTAAATGACTACCAGAAATCCTTTCAGAAATTGATTACACATAATAAGCAAACTATATAAATGATGGTTAAATAAGTAGGACCATTCATGTCATCAAGATAATACAGTTACATTCTTGTTTAACACATTTCTAATGGAGTAGTTAGAGGCCTAATCACAATTTACAAGACTATTTCTTTCTTTCTTTTTTATTTTTTTTAGAGAGTGGAAGGGAGGGGGAGACAGAGGAACATCGATGTGAGAGAGACACATTGACTGGTTTCCTCCCACACACGCCCCGATGGGATCTGGGGATTAAGCCTGTAACTGAGATACATGCCCTTGACCAGAATCAAACCTGGAGCCCTTTAGTCCATGGGCTGATGCTCTATCCACTGAGCCAAACTGGCTAGGGCTATAAGACTATTTCTATTGGGTCCTTAAGATAGGCAAAGACCTGGATTCCAATCAAGATTCTGTCATTTATCTGTGGATATTAGGTACATTTTATGAGACTCAGTCAGTTTCTTTGTCTATTAAAAGTAGATGATTATACCTCATCTGAAGGTTGCTGTGAAAATTAAATATCACACATATACACCTACTTCAGCATCAGACATGTAAGTGCATAATAAATATCAATTCTTTCTACCCCTTCCTCACTGCCCCATCCACAGGGAATACTGAATTCAACTCTATACTAGATTTTAAACCAATAAGCACAAGGTAATCTGCATTTACTTTATAACCAACAAATATAGAGCAATTCAATTTTAACATGACCATATCTATTTAAAGAAATACAGCTTTCACCCAGGATTTGCTTCTTCGATTAGAGATCTTGACAATAGTAACTAAAAATAAGCTATAATCCAATAAGGCAGGGGAACGTGAAGGCAAATGGAGAAAATCTTGGGTAAGGTTCATAGAGTCAGGCCATGATGCTAGAGCTGGGCCTGAACAATCTTGAGATAAATATATTAAAATTTTAAATGTATATACTCAGACTCAGCAATTCCACTTTACAGAAATTTATTTTTAGACTATTTAAAGTAGGTACAAGCAAGTTTACTGAAGCATTGTTTTTAGTAAAAAAAAAAAAAAAAAGTTGAAGGCAGCCTAAATGTCTATTAATAGTAAAGTGTTTGGCCATAGCCAGTTTGGCTTCAGTGTATAGAGCGTAGGTCTGCAGACTCAAGGGTCCCAGGTTCGATTCCAGTCAGGATTTGCGAGCTTAGTCTCCAATGAGGGGACATGCAGGAGGTAGCCAATCGATGATTCTCTCTCATCATTGATTTTTTTTTTATCTCTCTTTTCCTCTCAACTTCCTCTCTGAGATCAATTATATATATATATATATATATATATATATATATATATATATATATATATATAGTAAAGTATTTGAAAAAATAATAGTTCTTCCATACAATGGAATATTGTGTTGCTATTAAAAAGAATGCTGTGAAAAAATATAATAAAAATATACAGACAAATATCCAAACAAAAAATAATGCTGTAGATAATTCCAAATAACTAATATGGAAAAATCGCCCAAGGTTTTTATGGAAAAAAAAAATTCTGTTTATCAACATGAATAACATGAAATAAAAAGAGTATATGTAGTATATACATTCATTAAAGAAGCCACCTGTATATTATGGTAAACAGAGTCAAATCAAAATTTAAGCTCACTCCCTTTATTCATACCAGTGCTGCACTCACCAAAAAACTGCTTGTTGTCTTCATAGTATTTGTTTCCATATTTGTCTTCCCCCACCAACGTACCAACCCTCACATCATTTGTCCTGTGAATACCCAAAAGAAAAGGTATTTTAGAGAGCTTCTGTGTTCAAAACACAAATATAAGTAGAGAATACCGACTTTAAGAAACAAAGTTGCTGCATCAATAAGAAAAATGAGGACATGCTTGGGTTTGGGCACTAGTGGTAGCCTTCTAGCTTCTTCAACTGGAGGCTCACACCACCCACTGCTGAACCATCAGCTCCCAGGGACAGCTCTAGAATGCACGCTCATGATGCCCTCAGTATAACGTGACCAGACGTCCCGCTTTTTAACAATTTGTCCCGCGACGTTTTAAAAAAGTCCCCAGTACCACCAAAGGAGCACAGGAAGAGATAAGCTGACCCACCGATATAAGTTAAACTACATTAAATATAAAGATGCAACTTACAAAACTACTTTTATCTACTACAAGAGGCACTGGAGTTAGCAAACACCTTCAGGAAACCAGGAAGCCAAAGTACATCATCTCAAATGCTATTCATGTCCGAGCTTTCATTCCACTCTGGCTCTCCAACTGGCTTCCAGGGACGACCCTGCCAGTCGGACTCAACGAATGTCAGGACCGGAGACCTTTACCATCACCTTGACCAACGCCTCGCCGCGCAGAGGAGGAGACCGGAGGCCAAAAAGGGTCACAAAGACCGTCCCCAAGGTCACAGAGTGCGGGGGTGAAAGGCAGGGATCGGGCCGGCTGTCCTTGGCCAGAGCGGCGGTTCCTCCAAGGTGACCCAGCCCGCGCCCCTCCTTCCAAACACCCCGCCAGCCCAGCCCAGCCCGGAGGCCGGGCGCACGGCTCCGCCGCCTACCTGAAGAGCATTCGCAGCCAGCCTCGGAGGCCGTTGTGGCCGCTGACCTGCTGCAGTCCTCGCCTCAAGACCTGCAGCAACTCCATCTTGCCCCGCAGGCGGGGCCTTCCGGGTGCGCCGTTCAAAGGCGGCCGGGGGGAAGCGCACGCTCGCTCGCAGGGAGCCTCGGGCACAGGGTTCCCACGGCTCTGCGCATGCGCGAAGAGCTGGCGCTTGCGCGCGGGACCGCTTGTCCACTTCCCAAGGAAGTGCGGGAAGAAAGAGCGGTTAGGTTTCCTTGGGAAGCAAAGGCACAATAAACTTTCACCAATTCATAAAAGTTGCCTTTAGAATAAGGTGACCAGACGTCCCGATTTTTAACAATTTGTCCCCCAAATCGGGACTTCTTTAAAACGCCGTGGAACGCGGGACAAATTGTCAAAAATCGGGACGTCAGGTCACCTTAATATAGAAGGCGGTATATGTGGTGGAAAACACCTAGACTAGGCTGCCCCACGTGCAAGTTCCTCTGGGGGCCCCAGGTTCCCCATCTCAAATGATTGATTTAGACTTCAAAATCCTTTCTAGTGCCAAGGCTCTTTAGAAACAAGATACCATTAAGGAATTCAATATCGAGCACATAATGATACTGATTACACATACTAGCGTTGTATGTGCAGGAATAGCAAGGAGGAATAAAAAAGTATATGAGTAAGTATCTGCTCTCATTGATTTGGTGATTTAATTTCAAAGTTAAAATTCAAGTATTTAAATTCATAACAAAAGTAATTTGTGCATTATACATACAGCAGAAACTAATGCAATTTAAGCATGAGCATATCTATTTAAAGAAATACAGATTTCAATCAGGATTTGCTTCTTCTATTAGATCAGTCTTGAGAATAATTAACAAAAAGGTATTATATAATCCAATGAAGCAGGGGAGTGCAAAGGCAGATGGAGGAAACCTTGGGTAGATTTTTATAGAATTAGGCATGACCTTAGAGCTGGGCCTTAATCTCTCAATAAATTCATTAAAAAAATGTAAATGTGTGTACATATAGATGTACACACATTTACATTTTTACATATGCACATAATTTTGATAGTTCAATTGTTTCTTTCATTTCAGATTTAACCCATTGGAATTAATATTCAAAGTGTGTATACTTTTTTTTTTGGATTCTCTCTCTCTCTCTCTCTCTCTCTCTCTCTCTCTCTCTCTCTCTCTCTCTCTCTCTCTCTGACAGTATATATACTGTCACACAGCAAGGGAGCAATAGTTAGTTGCAAATGAAGCCCCTAAACCCGTTCCCCCTCACCCAGGGCTGCTTGGAGTAAGGCGGGGCTCAGAGTCTGATCAGGAGGCCTCCTGGATCATCAGAGGCCCGTGCCCTTAGCTCCTTTGCTTGAGGATGTGTAAACCTGCTCCAGCAGTGGCACAAGGCCTCATCTCTGGGTGTCCTGCTGTTAGGAGAAATCTTCAGCTTGTCCAGGTAGGAGTCCTGAGACCTCAACAGGTCAGGGGTACTCTGGTAGAACTCCACTTGCAGCAACCATCTCATCAAGGATGTCATTAGTCAGGAAGCTGTCCTGGACACAGGCTATCTCCACCTCTGTGCCTTTGCTGGCATGGACACCAGCTGGTCACTACCAAACACCTCAAGCCTCCCATCCCATAATGCTCCATCCCACACATCAGGCCCTGCTGTGCATATTTAAAATTTTAAAATAATGCAGGCTATTAAATAAACACTATTCCTAATTTTCCAGTGGCTATTTCATTTTAAACAATGTTTTTAAAAATCTATATATTCCTTGACCCATCAACTTGGAACATTCTCTCTTGATTCTCAACTATTTGAGATGAGAAATTTAGCACCTCACTTTCCTCACATATTCTCATCCTTTGCTCTTCAGACTCTAAGTCACCATTATCATTACTTTCAAAAGATTAAGGTTTATAAGATTTACACTTGAATTGTAACTGCAAGTTTCCATTGCTGTGAGTTTAAAAACTGAAACACAGTATTTCATGAAAGAGTCAAGTAATATTACTAGATCCAGGAAAAATATTTCATTTTATACTATTCAATCTTCAACCCCCAGGGAAAAACTTGCAAATATCAGGGTCAAATTTTCTTAGACTCTATTAATTAGTCAAAATTCAAAATCACATTTGAATTTATTTTATGTTGAACTGTGATTTTCATGCACTTTTTGTTTTCCCATTTAAAAAAAATCCATCTGAAATATTTTTATATATCTAAGAACTCTTAAAAACAGATTATCATGCCAAAACCGGTTTGGCTCAGTGGATAGAGCATCAGCCTATGGACTGAAAGGTCCCAGGTTTGATTCCGGTCAAGAGCATACACCTTGGTTGCGGGCACAACCAGTGGGGGGTGTGCAGGAGGCAGCCGATTAATTTTCTAATTCTCTATCCCTCTCCCTTCCTCTCTGAAAAAATCAATTCAATATAGTAAAAAAAAATTGTCATTATCTCACATTAAACAGTAATTCCTTAATATTAAATATTTAGAGGATTCAAATTTTCCCAACTGTCTCAATACTTTGTTTTTCCAACCATATGTTGTAACTGGTTGATCTTAATTTCTTTTAGTCTATAGGTTTCTCCCATTTTCCACCCCCTGCTCTTTTTTTGTCCTTCCAATATATTTGATGAAGATACTGGGATAGAAGAATTTCCCCTAGTCTGGATTTTGTTGATTGTATGCCCTCCCTCTCCCCCACCCTCCCTTAATATTCTTCTATCCCCTGTATTTCCTATATATTAGTAGTTAACCTACGTGCTTGACTAGGATATCATCACATAAAAATTAGCCATATTTTATGTGATGATATCTTTCAATCAGGATGCACACATGGTATGCACTTGCTTCACTTTTCATGATTTTAGCAGCCACTGATGATCAGTGGCTAAGTAATAATTCTAATATTCCTAAAGTTCTTTTGTTTTCCTTGAAATTTTAAATTGAGATAATTATAGTCCTATGCAGTGTAGGGTAAATACAGAGAGATCCTATCCTGTTTATACTTCTCTTTCTCTTAATGGTATATTATTTTGCAAACTATACCAACACAACCAGGATAGTGACATTAATGCAATCCACTGAGCTTTACCTCTACTCATTTGTGTATGTGCGTATTTAGTTCCATAGTTTTATCACGTGCAAGTTCTTGTATGTCACCACAGTCAAATAGTGAACAGTTCTATCACAAGATCTCTGTTACCTTTTTGTTATATACTTCTCTCCCCTCTAAAATCCCCTCTTCCTTATACTTTTAACATTAAAATATAAGATCTCCTGATTTGACTCCCTGTTACTTTTTTCTTATTTTTTATTTATCTTTTCTTATGCTTTCTGGGTGAGTTTAACTTCACCTTCCAAACCTTCCAATGAATTGCTTTGGCTATAGTTTTTAATTTCCAGGGGCTGTTCCTTGCAACAAATTTCCCTTTTTAAAGTTTCCTGTTCTCATTTAACGGATATAACACCTAGCTTCTGTCAAAATAGCAATAAGGCTAAAACTGGTTTGGCTCAATGCATGGAGTGTCAACCTGCGAACTAAGGGGTCCCAGGTTTTATTCTGGTCAAGGGACGTACATTGGTTGCAGGCACATCCTCAGTAGTGGGTGTGCAGGAAGCAACTGGTCGATGTTTCTCTTTCATCAATGTTTCTGGCTTTCTATCCCTCTCCCTTCCTCTCTGTAAAAAATCAATAATATATATATATATATATATATATATATATATATATATATATATATATATATATTAAATAGCAATGGGGGTATTGTTGTGATCCCTGCATTATATTTCCCTGCTCTATGTGTGATCTCTTAGATATTACAGATTTTCCTTAAATATCTGGAAATCCTGGTTCCACACTCATATTTAATAGGCACCAAAGAGTTCAATGAAAATACATTATACACACACGACTTGATTGTGGGTTTGTGATAATCAGGCATCATATCTAAACACAACCAAAAGTGAGTGCCTGGAGATCATTTCTCTGGAAGTAGTTTTTCTGAAGAGAAAAGCTATATCTGATGGCTGGCATTCTGGAAACACAATTAGAGGGCCCATACTCAGAATGCATATTTTAACTTAATCTATATATTTTTTTGTTAGTCCTCACTTAAGGCTATTTTGTTTCATTGATTTTTTTTAGAGAATGGGAGGAGGAGAAACAGAAAAACATGGGATTGGTTGTCTCTTACATGTGCTGTGAGGGGGGTATGGGTGACACGGATTGGAGCCTGCAACTGAGGTACAAGTTAAGTGCCCTTGATTGGAATAAAACCCATTATCCTTCAGTCACTTGGCCAATGTTTTAACCACTAAGCTAACTGATTAGGGCTTAATATTTTCATCCTGTATCTAATCCAAGCCTTCTATTATGCCTGGCATCCTGTAAGTCCTACGATCTTCCAGTTAGCTTTTTAATAGCACTAATCTTTGACTTGATGCTCAAAAAGGGAGGAGAGGGAACAGCCCAGCCTGCATGGCTCAGTGGTTGAGCATCAACCAATGAACCAGGAGGCCATAGTTCAATTCCTAGTCAGGGCACATGCCCAGGTTGCGGAACCAATCTCCAGTGTGGGGCATGCAAGACGCAGCCGATTAATGATTCTCTTTTATAATTTGATGTTTCTCTCTCTCCCTCTCTGAAGTCAATCCTATCTAATAAAAGAGTAATATGTAAATTGACTGTCACTCCAACACACAAGATGGCTGCCCTTATGTGGTTAAAGATGGCTGCCACAAGATGGCCAGCAGGGGAGGGCAGTTGGAGGGACCAGGCCTGCAAGGGAGGGCAGTTGGGGGCAATCAAGCCTACAGGTAAGGGCAACTGTGGAGGGGGGGGACCCAGGCCTGCAGGGGAGGGCAGTTGGGGTGACCACGCCTGTAGGGGAGGGCAGTTAGGGGTGACCAGGATTGCAGGGAAGGGCAGTTAGGCATCAATCAGGCTAGCAGGGGATTAGTTAGGGGGTGATTAGGCTGGCAGGCAGTAGTGTTAGGGGCAATCAGGAAGGCGGGCAGACAAGCAGTCCTGGATTGTGAGAAGGATGTCTGACTGCCCATTTACGCCCAATCCCAGGACTAAATGGGCAGTTGGACATCCCTCAATGGGCCCCAGATTGGAGAGGGTACAGGCTGGGCTGAGGAACACCCCCCACCCCATGCACAAATTTGTGTATTGGGCCTCTAGTACAAATGTTTTTTTTTTTTTTTAAGTGGGGGAGGGAGGGTGGAGACAAAATGATCACTTGACTTGTGTAGAGACATTTCAATGAGTCTGTATACAGACTTGCAATCAATCCTTTTTTAATGTCCCAAACACCATCTCTGAATACAAGTACCTGGGTCCTCTAGATAATGAGCATTTTTTCTAGACACTGCAAAGTGTACAGGCTTCTTTCTCACTGTATTTTCTTTTGCAGGCACTCAGGTTAGAGTGTCCTTGATTCTGGCTCTGCTAAATCAGTCTTTCTCTACCTGGATTTTGTTTTCTAAAGACTTATCGGATTCTCTTATCCTTTGATTTCTTCTCTTTTATCATGATGTAGTTATACTTTACTGTGGCAAACAAAAGGATAACTATTCAACAAATAGAACTCTGAAATCAAATAAATATATTGTCAGGAAACAAATTTATAATGCAGGTCACATTTTAATATAGATCTAAATACACTTCCAAATATAACTACAAATTTAATCATGAAAAATACCTGCAGTAAACGTGTGTTAATTGACCATTATTACATTATTTCTAAGTCCTTGGCTTACTTCTTGGGGTTATAAAGGTATAAAGCTACTAATTTTCCCATTTGTATATTTTTATTGTAAATGTAGTTTTCTACAGTTAATATTATAAATAAACCTAGTGACAAAAAAAACAAAAAACATGTTTTAAATAGGAAAAAATTTCCCTTAGTAAGATGGTAAAGACTGTACGGTGATATTTTTAAACTTTTGATTTACTATAAAGTAGTAATTAGTAAAATCCACAGCCTTCCCAAATTTAGCTTCTCTTCTATTACAAAAATCTTTGTAAAAGATGTACTCCAAGTACAATGAAATCTCCATTTTGTTTTTTATAACAAAGCAACAAATAGACACACTAAAACAATTCATCATGAAATCAGAGCAAATAAATATTTAACAGTATTAGGTTTGCTATGAAAAACATTACTGTGGAAGACATCCAAAGAATTAAAAATGCTTTTGTTGTAACAATAACAAGGTTTTAGGCCAATGCTCATACTAAAATAGCCCTTCCCTCTTTATAGTGAAAAATCAGTGCATATTCCTTTATATACTAAAAAGTTTTAGTTTTTAAAAACTATTAACTGCCTTAAAATAATTCTTTCACTCACCTTGACAACACAAATTGGTTATGAAAAATCCATTATTTAACAAACTGTATTTCTAATGACCTAAAAGAAATTGGCTAACACCCATGGAAGGGTAAGGAAACTATATAATATGGATCAAGAAAGAGGAAGAGGACAGATGTCTTCTGTGCAATGGAAGAGCAACATTTTAAGATCTACTCTGCAATACTGAAACATTTTGGGCTCAACCAGTTTCGACTACTTTTAAAACACTTCAGGAAACTGAAAAAAAAACATGAACCTTATCTTATTATCAAAAACAATTTTCTGTTACATACATAAATAAAAAGTGCTTGTAACTAATAACATACACCACTAAAAAAGTCAAGTTTTAAGATCATGAATATCCTGTCTCACTGCCAGCAATGAGTGGTCTATGCTATGGGTGCCATAATATTTACAAAAGACAAAAAAATATATATTCAATTATGATTTCCTCTGGTTCTAAGGTTATCATTACACCATTGACCATAAAATAATCTTTTAACAAAGTAATTAAAACAGATTATATTACAAAAGTATAATATACAAGGATATCCTCAGAGACTTCTGACAATTATGTATTTGTATTAGCTCATAATGAAGTTAAAGATGAATAGAACACAATTCTGGGGAAAAAACACTAATTTATTTATTTCACCAAATAAGATATGAGAGATTTTAGTTTAGATAGTTAAAAGGTGACAGCTTTAGGTATCATCTTAACCAAGAAAAAATTCATAGTATCGATATTTCTTATCACTTAAATAAGACAGGAAAGGAAACTCTAATTCCTGCTACCTGCCCAGTCACTTTGAAAATTCTTAAGAAAGTAAAAATAAAAATATCTTGGTTTTTGGTTATTCTTTTTTTTTTTTTTTTAATATATTTTATTGATTTTTTACAGAGAGGAAGAGAGAGGGATATAGAGTTAGAACATCGATGAGAGAGAATCATCGATCAGCTGCCTCTTGCACACCCCCTACTGGGGATATGCCCGCAACTAAGATACATGCCCTTGACCGGAATCGAACCTGGGACCTTCAGTCCGCAGGCGGATGCTCTATCCACTGAGCCAAACCGGTTTTGGCGGTTTTTGGTTATTCTTGAAAGTCAAAATTTCCAGGTGCTCTGGAAACAATGAGTTCAATTTGGCGTCTTGTGTTCTGAGAAAGAACGATAAGTTTACATTGAGTGCTCAGCTTTCATATGCTGTGACCAATTATTTGTGAGTTATAATCTGCAGGTTCCATTTTTAAAATATGTGGGATAACACTGTCAATTCGTACATTGCCAATGAGACCTTTGAAAAACAATTCTTCAGTGATGGTAGCATTCATCAACCTCAAAGCTGGCAATCTGAGTAGGAGTCTGGACAACCTAAAAACAAAAAAGAAAGAAGAGGGGGACAAGGTTATAAATCAAAGACAGAGTGTGTAAGTAGAAAAATATGAGTAATTTTTGCATTCTATTATTTGTAGCCTAATTGAATAAAAGATCTAATTTTCAAAAGTTAAAATAAAAACCTTAGAATTCAAGCTTTATAGTGTATGACAATCTACTGGATATAAGTGCAGTCTTACAGATTTCATAGTCAAGCCTTGCTCTTAACTGCTATGCTATTAAACCACAGTTCAAGCTATACGTCTAAAAATGGCAGAGGAACTTATTTTAGGTTGTTAGAACGGCAATATTTTGTGTTATCAGGGCACACAGACTCAATTATAATAGTTTTCTTGGTTTTGCTTTATAAAATACTTCCGGGAATGGCAAAACAGGCAATGGTTGTTATTACTGGGAAAAGCACAAGACAATGGAATAAAGATCACTGGACTCACATTTTGATTCAGTTGCCCTCATAGCTATGTACTTTCTGCCTTTCTTCAGTTTTTTTTTTTTTTTTTTGTAAAAATTACAATGATATCTGCCAGTTTCTGTATAGTGAGGTTTTTAAATTTTGGCAGGATATCTTATGTGAAAGTACATTATACATTGAAAACTGCTATTGAAAGATAATTTATTATTTTTAAATAACTAAAAATGTAAGAAACTCAGAAATAATTCCAAAGATCAGTGAAAGCAGCTGGAATGTAATCAAATAGAAGTCAGCAAACAACTACACATCTAAACGAGAATAAATGTAAATATTGTACTTATTTTATAATGAGGCATAAAACAACTTTAGAAACATTTTTAAAAATCTGGGGGGAAAAATCATGACAAACCAACAACAAAAGAACCACCTTTCCAAAAAGATTGTAGTAATGTTTATCCTTCCTCTAGTCTAAGGCCTAGCACTCCAATGCTTGAGATCAAATGAAACCAATAGCCCCAGAATTACTGAGTAGCATCCACAGAACTAGTAGAAAACAGGATAAGAAAACTGGTTAACTAAGGCTCATTTTCATGATGGAACTGGCTTATAAATTTATTATTTAATACGTATAAAACATTGTTATATGTGAAATGTTCTTTTACTAGCTTGAAGTATATCAAATAAATAATAATGTTAGTAACCATATTTATATAGCCCTTGCTATAAAACAAGTAGTTCTAAGCTCTTCACATTATTAACTGATTTAAGCATTACACTAATTGTAAAATGTGGATACTATTATCTTCTTCATTTTACAGGTGAAGAAACTGAAGTTAAAAACTACTTGCCCATTGTCTTACAGATAATAAGGAAAGTCAGAAGTCAAACCTAGGTACTCTGGCTCTGATGGCCATGTGTTTACAATACTGTCCTTCCTTCAAAAATTTAACTGATCTTATATATTTTTTAAAAGAAGACCAACAAGAAATACGTTAGTAGAAATATCATAAGCCAAATATCTCATTTATTTAAAAGAAAGAATTTGGGCACTATTGCCAGACTACCTGGATCCAGTTAGGCTCTGCCAATTATTGTGATCTTGAGCCAGTTACTTAAACCTTTGTATGCTAACGTCATCTCTATATAAATGTAAGAACTGGGTGAAATATAACATGCAATAATGTACTGCTTTTTATAGCATTAGCTATTTCATTTCAAAGGTTAACTAGAACACTTTATTTACTCTTGAAATATAAAATAATGAAAGAATAGATTCACAAAACTGTTTAAAATTAATATAGTTAAATAGTATTTAACTTCTAGGTACCTGTAGGTGTCATCTGGATATGTTCTGGTTATATAATCTTGAAATTCCACATAAGCCTTTTCCTGAAATTTCTCAATCTGTTCCATGTTTTCTAGGCCTGGATGGTCTGAAACATGAAAGAACATATTGTCACCCTGCTTCTGAATGTTCATTTAATAAGACATCTAAAGTGGAAGTGGAAGGGAATAAGAATAGTTCAGTCAAAAATGAAACCTCTTCATATATGTGGCTCTTTCCATAAATATTACTAAGTACCAGGTACTGTACTTAAATTAAGGCTATAAAACTATTTTATCTCATATACAAATTCTAATATCTAATAAAAAATGAGATCAATGTGATCTACTAAAATAGTATTTTTGTTTATTCCAAAAGTGGAGAAGGAATTTTGCTCACTGGTTTTAAATGTTTTTTCACACCCAAATAAGTGTCCAACATTCATAAAACTCACCAATTTAAAGTGTATAATTCAATTGTTTTAGATTATTCACAGAACTGTGCAACCATCACCACAATCTAATTTTAGAACATTTATGTCATTCTAAAAGACCTCTGTACCATTCACAGTCACTCCTTATTCTTCCCTCTCCTTAGTTCTTGATAATTACTAATTTCTAACCTACTTTGTCTGTAAAGTTTGCCCATTCTAGATATCTCATTTAAATAGAATCAGTAATATGTGGTCTTTTGTGACTGGCTTCTTTCCCTTAGCATAGTTTTCAAGGTTCATTCATGTTGTAGCATGAGTAAGAACTTAATTTTATAGCTGAATGATATTCCATTGTATGCATATATTACATTTGGTTCACTTAGTCATATGTTGATGAACACTTGTTTCCACTTTAATTGCATCATCTTATATTCCCACCAACAGAGTATGAGGGATATTAATTTCACCACAAGCTCAAACATTGTATTTTAGATAAGATGTCACTATTTGTGTACCTGGACTGAAGAGTACTATTGCTTTTAGGTAGGCATATTCATAGCCATCAACGCAGAGTTTAACCATGCTGTTGCAAAACTCTTGAAGTTTGAAGATGTGCTCCATCAATAATTTTCTTCTTTCTGTTGACATTTTATCTTTAATTAAAAACAAAAAACAGCTTCTGATTTTCTGCTAAAAAGTATGACTATTTTTATCCAACATATCTCCTTCCCATTAATTTCCAGCATTAAATATAACCAATCTATAAATGCTTCAAATTCAATGTCTCTACAAGTATAGCTGACACTAATTAGAGGTTGTTGGACACTCTTCATTCAAGAAAAAACAAAACAAGTTGTGTGTGTGTGTATGTGTGTATATATATATATATATATATATATATATATATATATATATCCTAAATATAATGTTTCTCCTTTCAAGATACACCTTTGACAAAATAAGGCAATCATCTGAAAAATTGGCAAAAGAAAATTCAAAAGATTCAAATTTGGTAACAGGATTTTATTTAAGCTTACACTGATTTTAAAAAGTGAGCAAAATCATCTAGATTTTTTAAAGTTAACACCACTGTCCAGCTGGTGTGGTTCAGTGTTTGAGTGTTGACCTATGAACCAGGAAGTCATGGTTGGACAACAGTGAGGGCATCTGCCTGGGTTGTGGGCCCAATCCCCAGTAGGGGGCATACAGAAGGCGGCAGATCAAATATTCCCTCTCTCTCTCCTTTCCAGTCTGAAAATCAATCAATCAATCAATCAATCTTGGAATTCAAAGGGTTACAATGAAGAAAGGTAATGGTTGGAAGAATTCATTTTGAAGTATTTACTTAGCTTTATATAAGCTAAACCTGGATTCCTTGGTACCTATAGCAAAGTACAAAAATTCACAAGGCCTGGTCAGAAATAGCCAACCAAACTTAAATATACTTGTTTCAATTTTGTTGTGCTTTAAAACATACTAAAATTCAAAAATTATTTTCAAGTGTCCAGGGCATGAACCAGGCATGGGCCCAGACCAAACGCCAAGGTAGGATAAACAAGGAGTTACTCTGTCCCTTGCTGACATGAAACAAGCACCACCAAATTAGGTACAACTCTATCCAGAGACATACAAATTTAAATATTCAAAAGTATTTTTTCGGTGGTCAATGAAATGAAATGATCAAAACTTAAAAATTATCTAAAGTAAAAAGGATGATGGTATGTAAAACATTATCTTCAGATATGTAACTTTAATAGTAAAACACTTTATAAAACTGACATCCTCTCTTATATCTAGAAAAAGGAAATAAGGTGCTTTTTACCTTGTTGAAGGCTACTGTGAAGGCAATTGACAAATGTTGCTAATATAGTTGCCACATTCATTACTTGCCAGCACTGGGCAAGACCAAGAGTGAAAAGTTCATTCCAATAAGCTTTCACCAAAGATATGCTGTTTTCCTGCCTATTAAAAATACACACACACAAATCAGGTATTATTAAGGTATATTTTATAAACTTTACAATTGACTCATATATTTTATAGTAAAATACTAGTGAAGTACAATTACTCTAGAAAGACAAACTTGATCAATTCTGTATACCTCACTGCACTTGATGAAAGGCTTAGAACCTTAATTAGCTAGCTCATTAATCAGTCAGCTAGTTTATAAAGAACAGTTTCAAACTGCAGAAGTTGGGGCTTTAATACCACATTTCATGGGAACAGCATAAAGATTGTTTTTAAAAATATTAAAATTTAAAAGACCTTTCCCAAGTTTTATTTTGCCTTAATGCAGGTAAATACTTTTTTTTTTAAGGCAATTTAAATTATTTAATGGTAGATAACAACTAATTTCCTAGGAGAAAGGTTTCTTCTTTAAGTAAGTTTCAGATAAGATATTATCTCTATAAATGAGAAACCAAGAATTTTACTAGGGATAAGAGGGCAAGAAAGGTCAAAAGTTCCCCCCCCCCCCTGGAATTTCTAAATAAGAAATTTCAGCATGAGAGAATAGAAAAAATAATAGGAGTCAAGAGACCAGGGTTTTAAAACCTAGATTATCAACTTATTATCCATTTAAAATGAGGTAAATAAGCTCCCAAGTTCATGTGTTTAGCCATATAAAATGCAGAGACTCTAATGCCTGTATCTAGCTCAATTATTATGAGGCACAAATGTAAGAATTATGTGAACAGGCCATGACATAAAGTACAAAAAGCCAGGCATTGTAAGAAGCACTGTAAAAATAGTAACAAACAACATGGATTAGGTCTGCCTTCATGAAACATAAGGGCAACATAATAAATATGCCATTTTAAATATTTTACATAAATATATATACACATATTCATATGGTTATACAAACATTAAGTTAGTTTTAGGCAATAAAAATTCTACATTACTATAAAGTAGGATGCTGCAATAGAAAATGGGGATTTGGGGCCTTGTTCAGGTAAGATAGTTGTGTAGGTGCCTGACATTTGAATAGAGAGAAACAGAAAAGAACTTAAAAAAAAAAAATTCCAGTAGAATAGTTATCCAGGAAAAAAAGAACACGGGCCAAACTTGTTGAGGTGAGAACCAGTATGTAGCAGATACTCAAGAAAAAATATTGAGTGGATTAATAAATGCTATCCTCCCTTAGTTTTTTTAAATTTCTAAACATTTTATTTCAAACTATGGTCCTTTTATAAGTCAGCAGTTATATTAACACTTTTCTTTAAGTTTATTGGGGCAACATTGGTTAATAAAATTATATGGTTTCAAGTGAACAATTCTATAATACATCTGTCTATTGCGTTGTGCGATCACCACCCAAAGTCAAGTCTCCTTTTGTCACTATATTTGACTCCCGTTACCCTTTATTTATTTGACTCCCGTTACCCTTTATTAATTAACTCTCCACTCTCCTTCCCCAATGGTAACTACCATACTGTTGTCTGTGTCTGAGTTTCAGTTTTATATCCCATGAGAGTGAAATCATATGGTTCTTGACTTTTTCTGTCTGACTTATTTTCCTTAGCATATTTTCAAGATCCATCCATGTTGCCGCAAATGGCAGTAGTTAATTTTTTCTTATGGCTGAGTAGTATTCCACTGTATACACCACATCTTCTTTATCTAGTCATCTATTGAAGGATACTTTGGCTGTTTCCATGTCTTGGTTATGGAAACAGCCAAAGTATCCTTTAATGGATAATGCTTCAGATGTTTTAACTCATGGATCTCTTAGATGAGCTTATGTGATGAGCTGGGAATCCTTTATTGAATCATAGCAATGTCAGGGAAGAAAACAGGGAACCTCCCATGCCTCAATTCCTCTGATGTAACTCCTTCTCCCTTCTTAAATATCCTTTCACTGGCTAGCCTTTCTTATCCATTAATCCATAGCTCAGAGCTCACTTAAAAAAAAATTTCTCTTACCACATTCCTCTCCCAAGATAGTTCATCATTCCTCCTTCAGTGTCACATATTCATTTACATTTTATACTTATTTCATGGTATTCTAATTTATTGTTTTTGGAGTCTGTCTCCTATACTAAGACCTTACTGAAGGCTTATTCATGTCTGTATCTTTGTCAACAGCACAGTAGATGGCATACAGAAGAAATTCAGCAAATGATTTCTGATTTCAGGGGATATAGAATAGGGAGAATTAAGAATTTAGAAAAAACAGAGTTAGAAAAGCTGTGGGAATGGACTCTTTTCCTATCAAATAATCTTTAAATCCAAACCTATATACTTAAATCATTTGTTAAGTTAAAACACATATCCTTCTTTATGATTTTACATTTTATTTAAGAATTGAATACACTCAAACAAAAGCTTATATTGCCAACTTAAGAGATATAGAAAGTAATTTTTCTCACTGGGAATTGTTCAGCTGAAATTTTTACTCCAGGCTAATCACTCTTTTCCATTCAGTACCTGAGAAGAATTACTTACCATAAAAAATTGTCCATTTAAATTTTATTTAAAAGTAAAATTTAAATGAAAAGTCAATAGTTTTAATCTCCATATGGAAATGAAAAATTTTAATCTCAAACTAAAAGATAAGATACTATTTTCATTTATCAGAAAAGGTGGATAAAATCCAGAATTAATGAGGATGTGAGAAAATAACCATTCATTCTTGTACATTACTGATGTGGGTGTAAACTGTCTCAACATCATTTTGGAGGACAATTTGGTAGTGCCTAGCAAAAAATGGAAACATACACCTCTTAGACTCAGCAGTTCCACCTGTAACAACATACTTTATAGAAATACTAACACAAGTTCTCAGTCAGCATAAATCTGCTTAATTCAAACTAAAAATTATTTAGTGACTAGAAGCCCAATGCATGAAGATTACCCGCATTTGTTGGGTTAATTTGCATACTCACTCCTGATTGGCTGGTGGGTGCCACAAAGGCATGATCAATCAACATATTACTCTTTATTATGTAAATTAGAGGCAAGGTGCATGAAATTTGTGCACGGGGATGTGTGTCCCTCAGTCCAGCCTGAACCCTCTCTAATGTGGGAGCCCTTGAGGGATGTCCGACTGCTCAGTGGGATTGGACCTAAATGGGCAGTCGGACATCCCTCTTACAATTCAGGACTGCTAGCTCCCAACTGTTCGCATGCCTGCCATCCTGATTGCCTCTAACCACTTCTGCCTGCCAGCCTGATCACTCCCTAACCACTCCCTTACCAGCCTGTTTGCCCCTAACTGCCCTCCACTGATGCCTAACTGCTCCCCTGCCAGCCTGTTTGCCCCTAATTGCCCTCTACTGTAGGTCTGGTCACCCCTTACTGCCCTACCTTGCAGGCCTAGGTCCCTCCCAGCTGTCCTTCCCTGCAGGCCTGGTTGCCCCCAACTTCCCTCCTCTGCCGGCTTGGTCACCCCTAACTGCCCTCCACTGCAGGCTTGATTGTTCCCATCTGCCCTCCCTTGCAGGCCTGGTACCTTCTAACTGCCCTCCCCTGCTGGCCATCTTGTGGCAGCCATCTTGTGTTCACATGGGGGCAGCCATCTTGTTTGTTGGAGTGATGGTCAATCTGTATATTATTCTTTTATTAGATAGGATAGAGGCCTGGTGCAAGGGTGGAGGCCAGCTAGTTTGACCTGAAGGATGTCCCAGATCAGGGTGGGGGTTCCCTGGAGGCATGGGGTAGCCTGGGCAAGGGGCCTGTGGTAGTTTATAGGCTGGGCATGTCCCCTGGAGGTCTAAGCGGAGGCCCTGGAATCTAGAGTATATTTATCTTCTACAATTGAAACTTTGTAGCCTGGAGTGAAGGCCTGAGAAGACCAACTCTGCAGAAGCTTCCTCCATCGCCTGGGGCAACCCTAGCCTCATGCTTCTCCAGCTCCGTGGCTGCCGCCATTTCTGTTTGGATTTATGTATCTTCTATCATTGAAACTTTGTAGCCTTGAGTGGAGGCCTGGGCCAGCCAGGGTGTGTGGAAAGCTTGGCCTCCTCCATTGCCAGGGAAACCCAAGCCTCCCTCCTGCTCTCTGTGGCTGCAGCCATCTTGGTTGGGGTTAATTTGCATAATCACTCTGATTGGCTGGTAGGCATAGAATGATGGTTAATTTGCATATTGCTCTTTTATTAGATAGGATAATAAGTAGAACTTAGACAACAGCTACACTAATAGTAAGTAAGTCTAACTTCAAAGAATCAAATTGGCTATTACATTGAACCAGATTTTTTTATTTTTAAATATATTTTTATTGATTTTTTTACAGAGAGGAAGGGAGAAAGATAGAGAGCTAGAAACATCGATGAGAGAAACATCGACAAGCTGCCTCCTGCATACCCCCTATTGGGGATGTGCCCGCAACCAATGTACATGCCTTGAACTTTCAGTCCGCAGACCGACGCTCTACCACTGAGCCAAACCGGTTTCAGCTGAACCAGATTTTTAATACAGATCACAGGGAAATGTGGATGCCACATAAAATTATACTGTTATAATCAGAAACCTCAGGTTTTATAATTTTGCTTTCTTCAACATCTGGACTATTTCTATAGAAAAATCACACTTAATTTAATAGAAGTACTTAAGATAGATAGTGTTGCCGAAACCGGCTTGGTTCTGTGGATAGGTTTTTGGTCTCAAAGATCCCAGGTTCGATTCCGGTCAAGGGCATGTACATTGGTTGCGGGCACATCCCCGGTAGGGGGCGTGCAGGAGGCAGCTGGTAGGTGTTTCTCATCGATGTTTCTAGCTCTCTATCCCTCTACCTTCCTCTCTGTAAAAAAATCAATAAAATATATTAGGCAGTGTTACAAATAACTCAAGGAGTTCAAGTCACTACCCCCAAAATCCTTCCTTTTGTTGTTTTATTATAATAATTAATATCCAATTATAAAAAACAGCATCAGATTACTTTTCAAGGTACAAGTATGCCAATTACAAGCCTAGGGAACTACAGTTAATGCTTTAAAATAAACTGCTAATGTACAAATTTATATTATATTTTAATTTTTCTTAAAAAAATGGATGGGAGAAATTCTTAAAGTTAAATGTTATCTTGAGAGAAAGAGTTAATAATCATTTTAAAGGTTAATCATTATAAATCAGGCTCTTAGTCTGTTGTAATTATAATATTTAAATACATTACTTAATACATGATATTAATATATGGTATGTCCAACATTGATTACTAAGCCAAATTACAGTGGGGTTCTATGAATGCCTCTTAAAGTTATAATTCAGATATGTTCTTTAGTTATATTGTAAATATTCCCTAAGGATAAAGGATGGGCAGTTATTATTCTTATTTGGAAAATGGAAAAAACAGATCTACAGAATATGAAAGTGAATGGTTTACAAAATCATACTGATGAATAGGGTCCTGTAACTAGAATAATACTTTTCTAACTATGGGATTAACATATTCCATGGTCTTTTTGCTTCTTCATACCAGCTACTTTAAAGCAATCTAAATAAATCTGGCAAACTTGAGGCAAAGCTTGGGTTTTTTATAGTAAGCCATTTCTATTAACATCTGATTACCTCAGAACAGACTACAGATGTGCTATTCAATAGAAAGAACAAAATTCTAAATTATCATGGGGTTTACATTTTCTTTCTTTCCCCCCCCTCAATCACACAACTGGAAAACAATTATTTCTATTTTTAAACATATTCACTGCTCACAAGTTTCAGCTCCTTATTAAAATGTTTGAGATGAGCCAAAACCGGTTTGGCTCAGTGGATAGAGTGTCGGTCTGCGGACTGGAAGGTCCCAGGTTCGATTCTGGTCAAGGGCATGTACATTGGTTGTGGGCACATCCCTGATAGGTGTGCAAGAGGCAGCTGGTCGATGTTTCTCTCTCATCAACGTTTCTAGCTCTCTATCTCTCTCCCTTCCTCTCTGTAAAAAATCAATAAAATATATTTTAAAATGTTTGAGATGAACACTGGTCATGTAAGGAAAACAACCACCCTGGGACAACCTTATAGGCTCCCTATCTTTAAGTCATTCAGAGACAGGCTATTACAAATGCTGGCCATGATCTATCAGTTCCACCCCATTTATCCCCTTTGAATTAACTTAGTCAAATCATAAAATATGAATACTCTTCCACATAAATATAATAAAAAAGTACTAGCTGCCATGATTTGTGACATAAGTGACAAACTTGAAGTTACGTTGTACCATTTTTTTCCTTTAATGCAGATCCTTCCAAATAAAAGTTCTTGTTTAATGTACATTTGTGCTACAAAACCTTATTTATATTTAATATTTTAAAACACTTACCCCAAAGCCTGGAAGGAAGGAATAGAAAGTGCCCAGTGCATCGATAAGAACAGCAGTCTGGAGGCAGACTCCCCGATGTAGTGTACATTCAGGTACTCAGGCATAGGAGAAGGCATTGTGAGCTAGTGTGAACAGGGATTGAGGTAAATTATTTTATGACCAACAATCCTAAAGTGTACTTTCTTTGAAAAAATTAAATGCAAATCATAATATATTACATATGAGTCTAATAGATTCACCAAGAGATAAATCTTAAAATAATCTGAGACTGGACTTTACAGTTAAAAATATGATTTAGAATAAATGAGTATCTTAGTTTCTAACAAAGCAATATTCAGACAAGCAGAATCCTACTTAATAAATATCCAACCATGATATTATCGGGTTGTATTTTTATAAAATATACTTTTATTGAATTCAGAGAGGAAAGGGGAGGGAGAGAGAGAGAAACATTGATGAGAGAGAATAATTAATTGGCTGCTTCCCATACATTCCCTTCTGGGGATGGAACCCTGGCAAGTGCCCTGATTGGGAATTGAACTGTGACCTTCTGGTTCATAGGCTGACACTCAACCACTGAAGCATGCCAGCTAAGCTATCTGGGTGCTTTTAAAGGTTACTTTCTCTCTTAGTCTAAAAATTTCTTCCTTTCCTCCCTTTGTTTATTAACAACTAGTGGCCCGGTGCAAGAAATTAGTGCACGGAGGGGAGAGGAAGGAGGAGGTTTGTCCCCTCAGCCCAGCCTGTACCCTTTTCAATCAGAAATCCCTCTTGCAATCTGGGACTGCTAGCTACTAATTGCTCACCTACCTGCCTGCTTGATCACCCCTAACTGCCTGTGCCTGCCTGCCTACTCTCCCCTAATTGTCCTCCACTGCTAGCCTGATTTCACCCCCAACTGCTCTCCCTTGCTGGCCTGATCTTGCCCCCAACTACCTCTGCCTGCCTGATCACCCCTAACTGCTCTCCCCTGCCTAACTGATCTCGCCCACAATGGCCCTCCCCTGCCAGCCTGATCTCACCACCAACTGCCTTCCCCTGCTGACCTGATCACCCCTAATGGCCTCTGCCTCAACCATTACCACCATGGCTTTGTCCGGAAGGAAGTCGGACACCTAGAAGATGGCCTGTAGACCCAGTCTAATTAGCATATTACCCTTTTAGTAGTATAGATAGATTAAAAGCCTTTTTCAGCAGGAGGAGATGTTCTTGGCAGATAAAAATACATTTATATCTGAACTGATAGCCAGCCATATGCACTATATTGCCAAACCAGTCATTAAAAAATTGAACCGCTTTCTTACATCTTACACCAAATAGCTATTGCCCTTAAAACCCCTCCTCCGCCCCCACCTTAGGTCCTGCCTTCACAGTTCACCCAGATTAGGTTCTGATTGGTTGGTTTCTATGCCAGGCAGAGTCAAAAGCTCCAACTCCTAGGCAGCCATCGACTCCTCACACTTCACCCCAATTTGGTTCTGATTGGTCGGTTTCTATGCCAGTCAGCATCTCTGGGACTATCAACAGGCCTGATCAGAGGGGTGGAGCTGAGAGAAAGAGAGAAGAGAGGTATGGCTGTTGGCCAGACTCCAAGAGAAAGAGAGAGGCAAGAGCTGATCACCAGCTGCCATGGAGACTACAGTTCAGACCCTGCTTCTCTGTCCAGGCCTTTCTCCAGGCCTGATCCACAGCCCCCTTAGCAGTCAGTGCTGAGTCACCATGCCCACAATCTTCCAGTCGGGCATGGTGATTTCCAGTCGGTGGAGCCTTTGGATGTTATGGACCCTGGATTTTTATATATTAGGATTAGGGTAGTATACAACAAATTCACTTTAAGGAGCAATCCTGTATATGTTAAACGTCCCTTTCATTTATGCTATGGAGTTAAATTCAAATGCTTATAGGCTCAGCAAAGTATTGATTGAAGCAGGCCATCTGCGAAGATGAATATGAGTTCAACACATCAAAAACATATGGGAAAAACAGATGCCTGCTATCAATTTTTCAAAGAGCAGGTTCTGTGTAAAAATAAATAAATAAATAAATAAATAAATAAATAATCCCCATTTAATAAACAGGTAAAACCAATTATGTCTGTGGCCATAATACTCACAGGCTTCCAGTTTTGCTGCTGACCTTAGGTAGTTATTTTAATATATTTTTCACTGGTTTTTATTTTATTTTTCAAAGAGAGAGGGGAAAGGGATAGAGATAGAAACATCGATTGGCTACCTCGTTTGTCCCCTACTGGGGATCGAGCCAATAACCCAGGCATGTGCCCTAGCCAGGAATTGAACAAGTGACCTTTTGGATCAGGGGTTGATGCTCAACCACTGAGCTACAATGGCCAGGCCTTAGGTAGTTATTTTAAATGTGTGACCAATACTTGGCTGGTGTGGTTCAGTGATTGAGTGCCAACCGATGAACTAGGTTGATGGATTCAAATTTCTTTCACTAAAGAAAAGAATAATCCAGATATAGAGTACCTTCTAGGTATTAAAATTAATAAGATAAACTGAGATGTGGCACAGAAAAAAAACATCTCATAGATATATCTAAGTGAAAAAATTGTAAAATAATATGTGGATGATCCAACTTACACATATAAATAAAGCAGAGAAGAAAATATATACACCACACAGTTAATAGCAGTGGCTAACCCTGGGGTGGGATAAGCTAGATGTGCCCATTATCTATTTTTCTGGGGAATAAATATTTAGCTTTCAACGGATTCTCAAAGGTATCTATAATGCCAAGCAGATAAAAAGATTTGTTGTTGTTGTTAATCACCTGTGGATATTTTCCCACTGAGAGAGTGGCATGTCTCAGTGGTTAAGTGTTGACGTATGAACCAGCAGTTCATGGTTCCATTCAGAGAGTGGCATGTCTCAGTGGTTAAGTGTCGATGTATGAACCAGCAGTTCATGGTTCCATTCCTGGTCAGGTCACATGCCCAGGTTGCAGGCTTGATTATCCAGTGGGAGGCATGCAAGAGGCAGCCAATCAATGATTCTCTCTCATTACTGACCATGGCTGAGATGGAGCCTGCAACCAAGATACCTGTCCTTAACTGGAATCAAACCCAGGACCCTTCAGTCCATAGGCCAATGCTCTAATCACAGAGCAAACCAGCTAGGGCTGAGATGTTTTTGTTTTTTTTAGTGTTGAGACATTACTAAACAAGGATACCTACTTTAGAAGCTACTGTCTACAATTACCTTTCCAGCAGTTTCTATATGTAATTTTCATAATGGGTTAAATAATATAGCTTTTAAAAATTTTTGACTTGTGTTAGAAGATCTGGGTTCTACTCCTAACTTATCATTAATTGTGTGGCCTGAATCACATATTAGTTCAGCAACCAATTATTGAGAGTTCATTGTGAACCACCTAACTAAGTGCTGTATATATGCTGTAGTCTCAACAGAGAAATAAAATGAAAAGTGAATGAGCTGTAGAAAAGGCTAAAAAAAGAGAATGGCATATCTCAGAATGATGGGCAATGGGAAGCTATTGAAGGTTTTTATGTAGCAGAATAACATAACTGGATTAACTTTTAACCATGATTATTCAGTTATCAGTGCTCAAGATGGAGAAGAGAGACTGTAAGCAAAGATATGACTATAACACTTTAAGAAATTTTAAAAGGCCTGGAATATGGCATTGAAAATGAAGATAAAGGGAGAAATTCTAATAGAATGTTTAGGATTTAGTCAGGTAATGAGGCTAGGAAAATGAAAATGACTCCCAAATAGCAAATGTGGTGACTAGGATTGTGATTTTAATATTTGGATAATAAATTTTAGAGAACAGTTTGGGAAATCACCTACCTCTATCTCAAACACTTATTTCCAAATGGGAATAGTATCCACCTTGATTATTTGTATAAGCAAATAGAATTAATCAAGTGAGACAAAGCATATGAAATCATACCAAAAACTCTGAAGTTTACAGAAATGTTAAATACTGCTGCTGTCCTAGATTCTTCAGAATAAAAATTTAAGAATCATTATTAGACTATTTCTCCTTACTGTCTGGGTTGCTTTGAACAATACACTAAAAACCTCCAAATCTCTTTTTTTATTCAGAAAAATGACAACAAAAATCTGAACCATCTTAATAGACTGTAGTGAGGCTCAAAAGAAAGAATGGATGTGAAAGCCTGCTGCAAACTATACTCACTGTATTAAAAATGCAAGAAAGGAACAAAATGTTATTCTGAGCTCAGCAATCAAGAGAAAAATCCATTTTTATTTATTTATTTTTTTTATTACAGATGGCATGTCCTGAAACTCATGATCAGAAAACATTAAGGAAAGAACTAACCCTGAAGGTAGTAGCTGAGAAGTCACTAAAAAGTGAGACTCTGACTTGACAGTTTGTAAATAAGATTCAAGGAAAGAAGGAGCTGTCCTTTTTATAGGAGAACAAGAAACTTTACAGGGCTGATTATGAGGATATCCTGAATATAGTAGAATACTGAAAGAAATAGTGACAGAAAACTTCCCCCACCTGGGGAAAGAATTGGACTTACAAGTCCAGGAAGCACACAGAACTCCAAATAAAAGGAATCCAAAGAGGACCACACCAAGACAAATCATAATTAAAATTCCAAGAGCAAAAGACAAAGAGAGAATATTAAAAGCAGCAAGAGCAAAGAAGGTAGTTACCTATAAAGGAGCACCCATACGATTGTCAGCTGACTTCTCAACAGAAACCATGCAGGCCAGACGGGAATGGCAAGAAATATTCAAGGTGATGAATAGTAAGAACCTACAGCCAAAGATAATCTATTCAGCAAAGCTATCACTCAGATTCGAAGGTCAGATAAAGAGCTTCACTAATAAAAAAAAGCTAAAGGAGTTCATCACCACCAAACCAGAATTATATGAATTGCTGAAGGGGGTTTTTTCAGAAGAGAAAGTAAATAAAGATAAAAATTATGAACAACAAATACATAACTATCAACAAGTGAATCTAAAAACCAAGGAAATTAAAAAAAAGTCTGATGAACAATATTAACTGGTGAATATAATAGAATCAGAGGTATGGAAGGGGAGTGAACTGATGATTCTTGGGGAAAAGGGGAGAGGGAGATGTGGGAAGAGACTGAACATAAACTGTGCACCTATGGATGAGGACAATGGGGCGTGGGGAAAGGGCAGAGGGTGGGGTGGGAAGGGGGAGGAAGGAACATTTGTAATAATATGAACAATAAAAATTTATTTAAGAAAAAAAAAAAAGAATAAAGATGGAATGGAAAAAAGAAAAAGTTCTATTTACCTAATTCATCTGTCCAAAACAAATATTTGAAAGAAGAAAAAAAAAAAACAAAAAACTTTGAGGCTCAATATCAACAATAAAAATGGGGAACTACTTCTACTTTCAATAGAAGCATTTTTGAGTACCTTTTCCTTGCAATGGGTTCTACTTCTTTTACCCTTCCTTCCCACTTAAATCCAAAGAGAAAAAATAAAACTAATAAAATATCTTTTACTTAGAATAAGAAAGAGCAATGGGAAAAATCAGTTTTGCTTTGCTCCACCCCAGTCCATATGTTTAAGGATGACAATGATTATTCCCCTTGTCTTGTCTCCTCTTGTAGCCTTCCTAATAAGTTTTCTTATACAATGCAAATAGAACTTTTCTTTTTTTTTTTTTTTCATGTTATCTTTGTAAAATTTTACATAAAGATTGGTTTCACTGATGTTTTATTAACTACCAAATTAGAGCAATTATTATTTAAATCACTGTGTTTTCTCTGTGGCTATTTCTACCAAGTAGTTAACATTTGCATAAACAAACTTAATTATATGCAATTTTGGCCAGTATTAGATTAATTTTGTGATCTTTATTTCTACCAGTGACACATATCTTTTTGATAACTATATGTTTTCATAAAAAATTCATGGAAATGTGTATTCTATTGTCAAGTTATGAGCAAAATTACTCAGGTATTCCAGAATGAATATATATTGTTAAATGTCCTACATACTTCCAAACACTCTGCATATAATTTGCTGACAGCAGTCACAGCTAGCTGGCAGAGCAAAGATACAAAGTGGTTAAAATGTAGGGTCAACACAGCTGGATCTTAATTAGGGTCTCAATGGTCAGCATATCTATAGCTGAATGTCAACCATCGGTATAACAAATAAAACATTATAAAGTTATTTTCTAATGTTTTATATGTATTACTCCTAGTATTCTAACTGTAGTTTCCACAATAAATTTATGTATTATATATATTAGGGGAGCAGAAAATAAGTTACAAATGTACCTTCTCCAAAACCTTAAAGTGTTAAAAAGTTAACACAAAGTTAAAATTTGTTAAATGATTTTTACCTTTTTAAAATAATTCTGAGAGCTAGCTAATTGGGGTAAGACATAAGTGGAGTTCTCTGCAATTACTCTGGTAAGAGCAGAGTATCTGAGTCTTAGATACTGGTTTATACTAAAGTAGTAATAGTAGTAAGGCATTGAACAAACCAGTGCATTTGACAGATCATGGCTGCCAATGCTTAATTAAAAAAAAAGAAAAAATGTATGTATAGATGTTCTAAAAGCTAAAACTTAAGCCCATTAATTAATATTATAGCTATGTCTTAGAAACAGGATTTATTAAGCCATTATTTTATGTAGGCAGATGTATATGTTTTAGCTGCTGTTTTGAATTCTATCAGGGATATTTCTGACTTTTAAAAGCACAACAAATATACTTAGATTTTTGAAAGGAAGATTAAAATCAGAATGGATAGTACAACACAAAAACTATAAAATATATATATATATATATATGGAAATACCCTGAAAGCTACATGTGAATCGCTGAGAAGTGGCCCCTCTTTTTCGATGTAATTTATACTCGAGTCTCCAGCAATTAGGTGTACGTTTCCTTCCATGCCCTCTACTGAGCTCTGACAGGCTGTGCTCTCTCCGGGATTCAATGCTTTTGCAAGAGTGTCAAATGCCCTATAAGGAGACATCAGAAGCTGTGACCTTGGCCATCTCCACAATAAAATAAAAATTCTACATAAAATTCTGGAATTAAGATTTAGGCCTAAAAACTGTTTAGGAAGTAAAAACTTTGGTGTATCACTGAACATTCTATTTCAGTGATATCTATGACTCTCCAAAGAAACAAATTAAGACTTCATAAGTATGAAAAATATATTAATGTATTATCAGAGAACTAGTCTTTAAAAAAATATTATGGAATTAAAGAGTTATAATTTTCATACTTTGGTATAAAAATATGCTTTTACAAAGTTATACATTTGTTACAAGATATCAGCCCATTCATTTTACATATAGCAGTTATTTAGAAAGAACAAGGGCTAGAACTTACACTTGACTGCGCTCTACACAACATAAAGTTAGGTTTTAATTTTATTTTATAATTCAGAGAATATTTTAAAACTTGTGGTTACATAGCTATATCTAAACAGTAAGAATCTGAGATTCGAATAGCAAATAATTAACTAATGTCAATAAATAATTATTCAAAGTAGTTCTCCATATTTTCTAATGAGATGCCTTCTAGATTTACTTGAAACCTCTTGTTCAACCAAGTACTTAATGAGATTCTTAAGTGAAGTTTCTTCAATATTTGAGGTGATGGAAAGAATGTGAAAAAAGCCTAAAGAAATCTGGTTTCTACATATTAAGTATTAATATTGAGAGAATGAAAAATATAATTCTGATGAGTTTCCTGAAGTGTAACTTAAAAATTTGATTTAACTAAATCTTTAAATATATTTCATCACTAAAAATTGATGGGGAAAATGAACATGACTCTAATAAAGATAAATGATTAACTCTAAATACACAGAAGATAAAATCTGACAACTAAACTAAGTATGAAATTTCAGACCCACATGATCATCTTCAGTGGAAAAAAAATTCCTGAATTTTATAACTACATTTCTAACATATAATAATATTCACTTATTGCTCATTATTTATAATGTAACCTGCTGGAAAACATTTTACATCGAATGGAATTTTTTAGTTAAAACTGACTATGCCTTACATTTTCTAAACCTAAAGAAATACCAGTTTTTTGAAACTTCTATAAATAGTGTTTAACATAAAAATATCTTAAGAAGTACTAAAAGACACTTAAAAGGACTCTTAAGATCAAAACAGACCTTACCTTGAAACATCACCATTGGTATGAATTTCTTGATTAAATTCACACAAAGAGGTATCACCATTACTTAATCCTTCAGTCACAGACATTTTATTACTATTTTGAAAAAGATCTTTAGTTTTTCCAAGATTTGCTAAAGATGTAACCACACTGGCCAATGTACTTAAATCTCCTTGACATGAATCAGCCTTAAAAAAAAAGAAAAAGAAAACTTAAATCTGCAAGTAGGTATCTATAAACTTTTAAATCTGAAATATCCAATTATAGATTATGAAATACCAAAATAAAAGTACTCTAAGATGAAATTTAAAAAGTAAAATCAAAGAGCTGTGAGCACTTAGAAGTTTCTTGAGGAAAATACATGTTTAAAAACATCAGGTACATTTACTATGTTTACAACAAAATGTTATGCAAAAGTTACTTCAAATCAAAAAGGACACTTAATGGCTCACCTATCCATCCATGTCACAGTCACTTAAAAGGCTATTAAATTACCTGGTCAGGTGGCTCAATTGGTTGGCAAGTCAACCTGTACACCAAAAGATTTTAGGTTCAATTCCCAGTCACAGCACAAACCTAGGTTGTGGGTTTGAAACCTGGTGCAGCAATATGGGAGGCAATCAATCAATGTTTTACATCAATGCCTCTATCTCTCACTTTTCCTCTCTCTCTAAAACCAATAAGAACTTATCCTTGGTGAGGATAAAATAAAAATAAAAAGACTATTAGATTATCCATTTAAAATTGTTATAATTTCCAAATCATAAATTAGAAAGTAAAAAGAATGTAATAAAATTATTAGTGAAGAGAGGGGAAAATGAAAAAGTATTATTGAACAGACTTCCTAGGATACCAACTTTTACCAGGTACTGTGTATTAAATACCAGGAAATGTGCAGTCCAAAAATCTTAAATATTTAAGATACTGGGCTATTTTTACACATTACATTATTTTCCCATTTGCCTTCAGCTTTTATTTTTGTTACTGGTGCATGTTTGTATCTATTTATGTATTAATTAGCTTATTAAAAACAACTTTCCTTAACTCTGATTACCCCGAAATATAATTTGTACAAAGGCAGTTAAGTGCTTGATTCTTCTTCCTTTTATTCTTCAATTTGTAAAGCAGTAAGTCAATGTCATAGCAACCTCTAATGGTGATAATGTGTTTTGAGTATCATTTTAAATTCATATTATTTTTATATATTGATGTTTTTTAATCCATTAGTCATTCTTTTTTTAAATGTTCAAATTATTCCACCCTAACCTTCAGTTGCCTTATCTGATGTATTGACACGATCCTTTAATGGTATTTTTTATTCTTCCTTTATGGGTTTTTTTTTTTTTTTTCAGTGTTCTTAATCCTAAGAGAAAACATGTTTCTGTGATTCATTTATTACGGTAATTCTTTAGTATATGTGAAATTCATTTTAGTGAATAAGTAGAATGAAATAATTTTTGAGTTCTCCCCAAATGAATGAATGGTCCCAGAAGCATTTACTGAGCAACCCACCAGTTACTGAGTTCTTGCATCACTACTTATATATTTTATTTAATCCTAATAACACCACTGTGAAATAGGAATCATCATCCCTTTATTGATAAGAATTATCCATTGTCACTCCAGCAACAGATAGGGGAAGCAGAGTGGGAAGCCAGGTCTGATGGGAAAACCCATGTTCCTAACCATTCTGCCATAGCCTTCCTATACATGAGTAAAAGATTTGCCCTAGCTGGTTTGGCTCAGTAGACAGAGCGTCAGCCCGTGGATGCTCTAACTCCAGTCAGGGGCACATACCTTGATTGCAGGTTCCTCCCCGGGCCAGGCCCTGGTCAGGGCTTGTGCAGGAGGCAACCAGTTGGTGTGTTTCCTTCACATCAATGTTTCTCTCTGACTTTCCCTCTCTCTTCTTCGCTTGCTAAAAATCAATGGAAAAATACTCTTGGAGGGGGATTAACAAAAAAATAAAATAAAATAAAAATTTAACATTTTTCAACTAAAACTTAAACACATATATTCTCTTCCATTTCATAACAGGTCTATGTAAATAAAAATTTTAATTTTCGCCACTCTTGGGCATTGTGGAAAGACCTCACTCAAGACCTGTGACTTGAAAGTTTGGGGACCATTTGTCAGAAACTTACCACATAAGGTTGGTATTACAATTAAATCAAAGATATATAGACTGCACAATATCTGGACAAATAGTAATTTCTCAATAAAACTTAGTTCTTTTCCTTTCCCAAAGGAGTTAATATAAAAATAAAATTCTAAGTAGTAATGTAACCTTGAATCATTTAGACAAGGCTAAATCTCCTAACTCCAAAATATATGGTTAGAGGCCAAATCTCATCATTTAGTAGCAGCATGCTAAAGCCTGATCTGTTAAGTTGACTCTCTTATTATTCCTATTTTACAGATAAAAAAGTAAAATGAGACAGAGAGGTCAAATAACTTGTCCAAGGTTATGCAGCTAGCAGGTGGCAGCTGAAATTAGACTCAAGAGCACAAGTATTAAGAGTGCCTTGCCCTGGCTGGTATGACTCAGTGGTAGAATGTCAAGCTATGAACAAGGAAGTCATGGTTTGATTCTGGGTCAAGGCACATGCCTGGGTTGTAGGCTTAATCCCAAGTAGGGGGTGTGCAGGAGACAGCCAGTGTTTTTCTCTCCCTCTTTTTTTTTTTTAAAAAATATATTTTTATTGATTTTTTACAGAGAGAAAGGGAAAAAGATAGAGAGCTAGAAACGTCGATGAGAGAGAAACATCAACCAGTTGCCTCCTGCACACCCCCCACCGGGAATGTGCCCGCAACCAATGTACATGCCCCTGACCGGAATCGAACCTGGGACCTTTCAGTCTGCAGACCGACGCTCTACCACTGAGCCAAACCGGTTTTGGCCAGTGTTTCTCTCTTATATTGTTGTTTTTATCTTTCTCTACCTCTCCCTTCCTGTCTGAATTCAATAATTTTTTTTTTAAAAGAGTGCCTTAAAGTATTAATTGATATATAACAAATCTGACCATAAATAGGATGAAGAACCTTACAGACCTGGCTGAGGGACCCCCACCAGTGCCTGAACTCAAGTCGGTGATTTGAGTCAGGTGTGTTAGGAATTTCTCTTGGCACTATATAATCTGTAGTGAAATATAATAGTAATATTAAAAATTTTTAAATATTTTCATTAATCTTTTTAAGAGACAGGTAAGGAGAGGGGTAGAGAAAGAAACATCCATTGATGAGAAACATCAATCAGCTGCTTCCTTCACGCCATGCTAATGGGATCAAGCTGCAACCCAGGCATGAATTAAACCGATGACCTCTTGGTTCCTGGGTCAACATTCAACCATTGAGCTATAAGGGCTGAGTAGGAATACTAATTTTTCCCCCACTTATTATAAATACCTATTTATGATGACTTTTATTTCAGTACTAGAGGCCTGGTGCATAAAAATCATGCACTGGAGGGGGGATCCCTCAGCCCGGCTTGCTCCCTCACAGTCCAGGAGCACTAAGGGGTGGGAGGTGACCTGGTGATGCCCCATTACACCTCTGCTGCTGCCACTGCCAGCAGCACAAGGCTCAGCCAGCTCTGGTTATCTGAGCCTCAGGTGCCCCTGGGCTGCTGGGCAGCCACCATCCAAGGCTTGCCTGTGCCTCAGGCTGGCCTGGGTGGCTGGGGGACTGAGGGGACAAGGGGACTCAGAAACAGGTGCGTGGGGCAGGCCAGGCCTTGTGCCTCCATCCAGAAGGGCTGAGGGTACTGAGTGCACCATTTTGTAGCTGTGGGCACCACCATCTTTGAGGGTGGGACAGTCAATTAGCATATTCCCTCCTATTGGCTGTGGGCACCATCATCTTTGCAACAGTGTGAGGGTCAATTAGCATATTCACTCTTTATTAGATAGGATGAAAAAATCTGGAAGACTTTTTAATGTTTATCACTTTCACATTGAAGCTGAACTATCCTAATGGAATAATATTTATACTAATAAATTCCTATAGTATTGGGATTCACAAAATGGAGGGTGCTACACTGGCTCCAACTATGTCACAAATCCAAACTAGGCCAGCCTGTACTCTGTACTTACCCTAGGAAAACAGGACCTGCTGGCCTTAGGAGGAAATCCCTGACTTTGCAGCCAATCATGCTGTGTTCTTGCTGCTGCTTCTAATGTTCTGTAAAACTCACTCTTGCCCAAACTCTCCTGGGGAAGAATGTTCCACTGCTTATGAGGAGACACTGTTCTCTCCCAATGCAAGGGTTGTTTCCCCTTGAATAAAGGACATTGAACTCCTAACTAAATTGTTTTAGTTTTGTTATTTGGCACTATGAGACAGTTGATAATTTACATATTTTTTTAAAAAGCAACTTGTAATAGGGAATATTTATGACCAAATCGACTAAATTGATAGAAATAAAGGAAACCATTTTAAAAGCTTAAAAATGTTTAATCTTTACATTAATTCCACTAAACACACCTTATCTGGTGTCATCAGCGTTGAGGACTCAGTTTTTATTCCAGACGAATGAATATTCACAAACATTCCTGAGTCTAACAGTCCTGCTGACCTGTAACAAATAAGAACAAATTTCAGCCTTAGTTTCAATGGGAAGAAAAACAAATGACCAGCTACTCAATGTTTTGTTTGCTGTATTTACTACACCTTGCAGTTTCACTATCTGTTACAAAAGTTGGAGTTGCAGCTAATGGGCTTCGAAGGTCTTTTCGGATGTAGATTTTTTCTGTTGAAGCGGCACAGTTGGTAGATTTTTCTCTTGATACTTCAATAGGTTTCCTTTCACACTGTACAGCTACAAAAATGTGGTAGACTGTTACAAGGCAAAATTTATAGGCAATTATAATGTAAATTCTAGGTCAGCAATGTGGCTAACTGAAGACATGGTTATTATAAAAAAAAACTCCAAAGATAACCAACCATCAATCTTTAGAAATTATGTGCATATTTGACAAAACTGCTTTAGTAAACTATAATAGTTAATGTAAAAGTGACATTATGAATTCTTTTCTCTTTCTGTCACTAATGTGGTAAAAATGTAGATGAATTCTTATTTTTTACTAGAGGCCCGGTGCACAAAATTTGTGCACGAGGTGTGTGTGTGTCCCTCAGCCCACCCTATACTCTCTCCAATCTGGGACCCCTCGAGGGATGTCCAACTACCCGTTTAGGCCCAATCCCACTAAATGGGCAGTCAGACATTCATCTCACAATCCAGGACTGCTGGCTTCCAACTGCTTATCTGCCAGCCTGCCTGCCCGATTGCCCCTTCCTGCCAGCCTGATCAGCCCCTAACTACTCCCTGCAAGCCTGATTGACACCTAACTGCCCTCCCCTACCAGCCTGGTCTCCCCTAACTGCCCACTCCTACAGGCCTGGTTACCCCTAACTGTTCTCCCCTGCAGGCCTGATACCCCCCCAATTGCCCTCCTCTGCCAGGTGGTCACCATTAACTGCCTCCCCCTGAGGCCTGATTGCTCCCAACTGCCCTCTCTTACAGGCTTGGTCCCTTCCAACTGCCCTCCCCTGCCGGCCATCTTGTGTCCACATGGGAGAGCCATCTTTGACCACAGGGGATGGCCATCTTGTGTGTTGGATAGTCAATTTACATTATACTTTTATTAGATAGGATAATCTCAGTCAAACCCTGGCCAGTGGGGCTCAGATGGTTGGGCATCCTCCTATGCACTGAAAACTACCAATATTCAAATCCAAGTTTTGCCATTTAATAGTTTTGTGACCTAGAACAAGTTACTAAATTTGCTTACTCAAGTGTAAAATGGGTAACAATAATACCTACTGAATAGAATTCTGCTGTGAGAATAAGAAAGTTATTAGGCATAGTAGAGTTTACTCAATAATAGCTACCAAAAACTAAACTTAGTTAATTGTGCTTTTTTTTTTTTTACCTTGTTCAAACTAGAAATACACAACTGACATATAGGCAATCAAAAACTATTTGTTGAGTGAATTAAAAATACACATGTATATATTTCTATACTTTTAGGTGGAAAACGGTAAATTAAAAAGCATATAAAATTGACATTTTAATGTGCTAATTTTAACATACTTCTAGAGTTTGCCTGAGTTCTTAATTTTCTCCTTTAAAGCTAATACATACAGTCTTGTTTCATTCCAAACGCAATACATCTCTGTAACCTGCAATATTGACAGCGGTTTCGATGGTGTTTATTGATAATACAGTCCTTAGATCCTCGACATGAGTAAACTAAATTTTTTCGGATACTTCTTTTAAAAAATCCTTTGCAGCCTTCACAAGTTACTGCTCCATAATGACGCCCTAGAGACAAAATATTTAGAAGTCATATATTTTAGAATAAAGATGAAATAAGCCCATTTCTTCCCTTTAAACATCATATCTGAGATGAAACTGACATTTTTGAGTTTATGACATGAAAAAAATGCTTAGGAGTTTCCAAATAGAAAATGAAAACAACCATATTCTTTGATAAGATATATTAAATAATGCCAATGTTTTTAATTTTATAACATAACTATTTTCACTTCTGATATCATAAATTATTATATACTGCATATTTCAATCTAAAAATTATGCTCCAAAAAAAGGATATATCAGTTAGTATCTGAACTATAATAATCCTTCCTCACTGTTAGTGTTTTTTTGTCCACCAAATTTGTTTTATTTATTTATTTATAATATATTTTATTGAGTTTTTACAGAGAGGAAGAGAGAGGGATAGAGTTAGAAACATTGATGAGAGAGAATCATCGATCAGCTGCCCCTTGCACACCCCCTACTGGGGATATGCCCGCAACCAAGGTACAGTCCCTTGACCGGAATTGAACCTGAGACCTTTCAGTCTGCAGGCCAACGCTCTATCCATTGAGCCAAACCAGTTTTGGCTGTTTTTATTATTTATTTATTCATTTATTTATTTATTATTTTTTAATTTATCTTTATTGTTGAAAGATTACAAATGTCCTCCATTCTTTCCCCATTGACCCCCTTTACCCAGGCCTTCACCACACTATTGTCAGTGTCCATGGGTTATGCATATATGCATATAAGTTCTCTGGTTAAATTCTTTCTACGTACCCCTATCTTTCCTCTGGGATTCATCAGTCTATTCCATGCTTCTAAGACTATGAATCTATTTTGTTAATCATATTTCACATATGAGTGGATCATATGATACTTGTCTTTCTCTGAGTGGCTAATTTCACTTAACATAATGCTCTCCAGGTCCCTCCATGCTGTCTCAAAGGGTAAGAGATTCTTTTTTTATAGCTGCATAGTATTCCATGGTGTGAATATACCACTGTGGGTTCCATTTTTTAAATCTCTGGAAATATCTATAGTGCTCTGATCAGCCTATCATTTCACAAACCACTTCTTTGGCACAACATCTATGAACAAACTGAACATACTCTAAGTAAAGCTCTAGTGGAGATTTTTGTAATTAAGTGATGGGCTATTTTAAAGAAAATTAAACAAACCAGGCCCTTAAATTATAACACACTGGCATTTATAAATGCATTCGAATGAACACTGGTTTGTATTTTTGGCATGAGGTAACAATAGCCAGAGCTAAAATGACATAGCCCTGAATACTAAGGTTCACATTAATGTTTCTCTCTCTCTCTACTCCCATCCTCCCTCCCTTCCCCTTTCTCTAAAAATCAATAGGAAAAATATCCTTAGGTGAGGATTAACAACAACAAAAAATGGTAACTGCATTTCATAATGCTCTGAAATATAAATTTTCTTCACTGCCAGATCAAATTAAACTGTATTGAAGAGAAAAATCTTTACATGAATAAAAAACTCGGGAAAAAATCAGTTAAATTTCATAAGCTAAAATATAAACCACAAACTACACGCGCCTTTATTTTTCTTTTTACTTTCATGGTAGTGTGATAGTTATTTTAATAACACAACACATATAGGAAATTATTTATTTTATTTTTTTTATATATTTTTATTGATTTTTTGCAGAGAGGAAGAGAGAGGGATAGAGAGCTAGAAACGTCGATGAGAGAGAATCATCGACCAGCTGCCTCTTGCACACCCCCTACTGGGGATGTGCCCGCAACCAAGGTACATGCCCTTGACCGGAATCGAACCCGAGATCTTTCAGACCGCAGACCGACGCTCTACCAGTGAGCCAAACCGGTGCCGGCAGGAAATTATTTTTAATGTTACCTGATGCTTTGTCTCCACATACTACGCAAAGATCAAAAATCTTATTTGGTCCTTGGTCTGAAGAAGAATTATCTGTTAAGAACTAAAGTAAACAAAAACAAAACACAACAGTGTTATTATTCAGTATTGCTCTTATATAAAAAAAAGAACATTCAGTCTTACTTTTTGCTTCCTTTTTAAGTTATTTTGAAACTTTATACTCTATTATTATGCATATATCAAATAAACTATTTGTAATTTTCTTAACATATATGTAAAAATTTCAATGTTATAATAAGCAACAACAGTAAGATACCTTTTTTTAATTTGCCCATAAAAACTTAAGTAAATGACTGTTAAACACATGAATACATAAGTAGTTTTTAATGCATCTCACAGATTAAGCATTTAACATGCATATGGAACTTGTCAAATTATTGCAAAGTTATCAATCCTATCATGACATTTGTCTTTAAAAAGTTTATGCTGGGACCGGTTTGGCTCGTGGATAGAGCGTCGGCCTGGGGACTGAAAGGTCCCGGGTTCGATTCTGGTCAAGGGCATGTACCTTGGTTGCGGGCACATCCCCAGTGGGGGGTGTGTAGGAGGCAGCTGATCGATGTTTCTCTCTCATCGATGTTTCTAACTCTCTATCCCTCTCTCTTCCTCTCTGTGAAAAATCAATAAAATATAAAAAAATAAAAAAATTAAAAAAAAAATAATAAAAAGTTTAGAACCTTGCCGAAACCAGTTTGGCTCAGTGGATAGAGCATTGGCCTGCGGAATGAAAGGTCCTGGGTTCGATTCTGGTCAAGGGCATGTACCTTGGCTGCTGGCATATCCACAGCAGGGAGTGTGCAAGAGGCAGCTGATTGATGTTTCTCTCTCATCAATGTTTCTAACTCTCTATCCCTCTCTCTTCCTCTCTGTAAAAAAATCAATAAAATATATTTTAAAAATAAATATATTTTAAAAATAAATAAATTCCTTTACACTGGAATGACAGGACTAAAATATGCTATTATGGCATAAAAAAACAACAATTTTTTAAAAGAAAAATATTTTGTTGATGTATTAACTTTATAATTATGAAAATATAATTGGTAAAAGACAAAGGTATAAATAAACTTTTTATTAATGAGCGTCTTAAGTTTGGGCTAGGTGAAGTGGTTGAGAGTGTGGACTCATAAATGGTAGCAAGTTAGTGGGACTAGGTGGAATAGCCTTGGGTAAATTACTAAGCCTCTTTCAATTATATAAAGAATTCACCAAGTACAACTAATACTGGTAAAGAAATACTAGTTTCTTCTTTTAGGCTTATCCTTCAACCTTTTCATCATATTCTTTCAATCTTTTGAAAAATGAACAAATTCCTTTCAATCCCCAAAATGTGATACTGCATTTAGTAAACACCTTTCCCCTGCTTTAAAACAACCCACAAAGTAATCCTCTACTTTGACTCCTTTTCTTCTCTCTCTCTCTTTTTTAATTAATTATTTATTTGTTTTTTAAAATATATTTTATTGATTTTTTACAGAGAGGAAGGGAGAGGGACAGAGAGCTAGAAACGTCGATGAGAGAGAAACATCGACCAGCTGCCTCCTGCACACCTCCTACCGGGGATGTGCCTGCAACCAATGTACATGCCCTGGACCGGAATCGAACCTGGGACCTCCAGTCCGCAGACCGACGCTCTACCACTGAGCCAAACCGGCTTCGGCTCCTTTTCTTCTCTTAAGGGTGTGAATGCCTTCTGAAGTAATTCTGATTTTAAAAAATTTAAACAGTTCTTAAAATAGCTGTCCTTTGTTATGTTATAGTGCTATCATTTATTTTTATATTACAAAAAAATCAGTCAATAAAATCTTTAAAAAAAATTCTATTAGATGTCTTTTGAAAGCATCTAAAACAAAAATCATTCTTTTCCTCAATTTCACATCTATTAGAACCTCGCCAAAACTGGTTTGGCTCAGTGGACAGAGTGTCGGCCTGCAGACTGAAAGGTCCCAGGTTCAATTCTGGTCAATAGCATGCAAAAGGTGTTAATATTTTATGTATTACTAAGGGTATTTCTAAGGGTAGAATAGATATTGAGAGGGCAAGGGACTTGCCCATATGCCATCTTAGGTCATCAGACCAAAAATCAAATCTTCTTGGTCCAAAAAATTCCATCCTATATTTGTTTTTCTTTCATTGCCCTTAATAATAATCCATGAAGTCGCCGAAACCGGTTTGGCTCAGTGGTAGAGCGTCGGTCTGTGGACTGAAAGGTCCCAGGTTCGATTCCGGTCAAGGGCATGTACTTTGGTTGCGGGCACATCCCTGGTAGGGGGTGTGCAAGAGGCAGCTGGTCGATGTTTCTCTCTCATCGACGTTTCTAGCTCTCTATCCCTCTCTCCTCCTCTCTGTAAAAAATCAATAAAATATATTAAAAAAAAATAATAATCCATGAAGTAGTAAAATACCAATCTTACTTCCATGTTCATAATACAAATTTTTTTTTTAAGAGTAAAAACCTGACACTTATTTCTTCAGCCAGGAGATCAAGGTTAAGGTGTGATGATAGTAAGTACCCTTGATATAATGTAATGAAAATGGCACTTAAACTCTGTGATCCTTTTTCCCAAAACCCACAATCCAATCAAACATGAGAAAAATATAAGCCAAGGTCTCAGAGTGAGGCAACCTACACTTTACCTGACCAGTACACCACAAAACTGTCAAGGTAATCAAATACAAAGAAAGTATTAGAAATTGTCATAGGTAAGAGGAATTTATGGAGATATGACAACTAAATGCAATATGGTAGCCTGAGACAAAAATAATACTAGGTAAAAATCAGGAAAAGAAAAGTATTTATTTTAGTTAATAATGTATCAATATTAATTCATTAATTATAATAATGTTTCAACCTAATGCAAAATGTTAAAACAGGAGAAACTTTGTGTTTGGAGGTTATATGAGAACTCTGCATATTAACTGCTTATATTTCTATTAATGTAAAACTTCAAAAAATCAAATTTGTTAATAAAATAAAGAAATTAGGGTATGTATAATGTTATACATTTTTTTAGTAACACCTATTCATTTTCTACCTCAGCAGTTTCTAAAAATGATGTATCTGAAAGAATAAAATCCAACAGGATACCTTGGCAAGATTTTTTATTTTATGAATTAGGAGTTTTTCAATCCTGAAAGGAATTTTCTTTGATCGGTTTTTCATTAAAAAAAGGTGGAATCCAATTTTAAGTGGGCACTCACCCAAAATCTCTCTAGAGGCAAACTTAATGGTTCATTATATTTGTATTCAATTGTAACAACCAGCAGTAAAAATATCTACATAACCATAGGCATGCAGTGTGTAAAAACCCTAACTGGCTCTTGAAGTATAATACATAACTGTCAAAAATTAACACTAACACAATGTAATCTACACTCTACTGAGTTCGAATATTAAAGGAGACCACAGAGTAAATGGCTTCTTTATCAACGAAGATGAAGATGACAACAGATAGAGGCAAACTGAATAGCTATGATAACAACTTCTTAACATGGATGCTGCTGGTTCAAGGCACAGGCAGCTTGGTCCTAGAAACTGAAGCCACAGAAGATGCTCCTATCTGGCAGTTTCCTAACTGTGCAGAAGCAGCAGGTCTCTTAGAAGTAGTTCTCGATTAAACTTGGCCTCCAAGATGGCTGCGCCCAGGTGAATACCTAGCTGCAGCCTCACACAACAATTTCAATAAAATACAACTAAAATATAAAACGGACATTACCCAGAACTACAGGAAAGTTGACTGACTGGAAATTCTACAACGAGAAGCAAGGAGAAAACCAGAAGGAAGCGCGGAGGAGCTGGAAAAGCCGAAGGTACGGAGACACGTGGCTGCCTGGCGGGCGTTCCCAAGCAGGAAGGAGATAAAACTCTGACTGTGCTGGGCCCCATTCTGACTGCTCTGAACCCAAGCCTAGGCCAGACCTTGGGGACTCAGGCTCAGCCAGAGGGAGCTGGGCTGCGAGGCGGAACCCGGGGAAGCCGCGAAAGGAGGTCCTGGCGGTGGCGCCCAGTGCGCGCAGAGAAGGAACGGCCGGATGTGCCGCGGGATTGCCTGGCGGGAAGGAGACAGAGGCTCCAGACTGCTCTGAACGCCACCTCCAACCCCACTTCCAACTGAACTGAACCCCAATACCGGGCTCATTGGGGAGAGCATCGACTGTTTGGCAGCAGGCGATCGAGGGCGCCTTTCTCTCAGAGGCGCCAGCAGCGAGCACTGAAGGACCCGCATAGGGCGGGGCTGACGGAAGCCAAAGCTGCAGGCTCCACCCTGAAACCCCTCCCCATCTGTAGCTGCGAAATGCAACAACGAAATAGATCACAAACGAAAGAAATGGAGGACAAAAAGCGGCTGGATATAGAGTTCAAATCTACGCTTATAAGGTTTTTCAAGAATTTCCTAGAAAAGATGGATAAGACCTATGAGGATATGAAAAGAAATCATCTAGAATTAATAAGGAGTCATCAAGAAATGATAAGGGAACAACAAGAAATAAAGAATACATTGTCTGAAATAAAAAATATTTTACAGAGTCCTAAAAACAGAAGGGAAGATCGCAAGAATCAAGTCAAAGATTTGGAACATAAAGAGCCAGAAGACACTCCTCCACAGAAGCTAGAAGGCAAGAGAATCCAGAAAATTGAAGATAATGTAAGAAACCTCTGGGACAACTTCAAGCGAACCAACATCAGAATTATGGGGGTCCCAGAAGATGAGAGAGAGCAAGATATCGAAAACATACTGAAAGAAATAGTGACAGAAAACTTCCCCCACCTGGGGAAAGAATTAGACTTACAAGTCCAGGAAGCGCACAGAACTCCAAACAAAAGGAATCCAAAGAGGACCACACCAAGACAAATCATAATTAAAATTCCAAGAGCAAAAGACAAAGAGAGAATATTAAAAGAAGCAAGAGCAAAGAAGGTAGTTACCTATAAAGGATCACCTATACGATTGTCAGCTGACTTCTCAACAGAAACCATGCAGGCCAGACGGGAATGGCAAGAAATATTCAAGGTGATGAATAGTAAGAACCTACAACCAAAGATAATCTATTCAGCAAAGCTATCACTCAGAATCGAAGGTCAGATAAAGAGCTTCACTAATAAAAAACAGCTAAAGGAGTTCATCAATACCAAACCAGACTTATATGAGTTGCTGAAGGGAGTTCTTTCAGAAGAGAAAGTAAACAAAGATAAAAATTATGAACAACAAATACGTAACTATCAACAAGTGAATCTAAAAACCAAGGAAATTAAAAAAAAAAAATCTGATGAACAATAGTATCTGTTGAATATAATAGAATCAGAGGTATGGAAGGGGAGTGAACTGACGATTCTTGGGGAAAAGAGGAGAGGGGGGGCGTGGGAAGAGACTGAACATAAACTGTGCACCTATGGATGAGGACAATGGGGAGTGGGGAAAGGACAGAGGGTGGGGTGGGAACCTGGTGGAGGAGAGCAATGGTGTGTGTGTGGGGGGGGAATGAACATTTGTAATAATATGAACAATAAAAACTTATTTAAAAAAAATAAAATAAAATAAAAAGACATTAAAAAAAAAAAAAAAAAAAGAAGTAGTTCTCAAGTGTGCTCCAGTAGTTATTTTTGGAAAGCTGACCTCAAACTGTTTCTTCAGCCTCCCAACAATTCTTTGAGCTCTTTATATTCTATATTAAGTCCCTTCCTGCCAAACTTGCCAGAGTGGACCTTACTGTATATAACAAAGAGCATACTTATGACATGCTTTTTAATTCTTTTCAAGTGTAAGATACAAAGACATGCTATGGTTATTTACCTGGAGGTGTTGTGCAGACAGATCAGGAGTTGTAAAAAATAACTGGTTGACACCTGCTGCATCAGGAGTTGTGAGAAAAACTTTCCCAGGTGTGGAATCTTGCCTGGCCAGAATGACTTTGCTTGGAGCAGAGACATCATGATTTGTCAGAATGAACTGCTTGCCTTGTGTGTTATGATCAAGTGCTGTCACAATCTGGATTTTTTGGCCAGTTTGCTGCTCTGTAACAACCTAACACAATCATGTAAAATTAATAATCAAATCAAATCAATTTTCTCTCTCTTAAAGAACACAATTTTGTCATATCTTCAGACAAAGCTGGAAAAGCATTCCCATCACACATATATTCAATACTAGTGCCCTGGTGCACGGATTCGTCCACATGGAAAGGAAATTAATTAGAGGGTGGCCAGCAGGATGGAACTGGGCGAGATGGACCGGACATGCCCTAGAGCCAACCTCCCTCGGTCCCTCCCCGGCCAGCCACACCTCGGGTGGCACCACGGCTCGAAGGGCCTTCAGAGTAAGTGGGGTCCCTCAGCCTGGCCTGTGGGGAATCCGGCCGAAACTGGCTCTCAGATATCTGCCAGGGGTCCCGGGTTGTGAGAGGTCAGTTCTCGAGTGACGCACCCTGGAATCAAGCTCCCTCCTCTCTGGTTCCGGGGTGTGTCACCCAAGAATTGCCGCTGCCAGTTCATCACATTTATATTCAATATATTACACATACACGCCTTTAAATTAGCAATTCTAGTTCTATGAAACCCTACCTTACAGAAATAAACAAATGTAAAATAAATAAAGGTATAATAGTAAGAACATTTAGACCTCACTAAATTGATTCCTTCCTTCCCCTCCCTTTCACCTTCCATTTAGACAAACACATTGGGTGTATTCTATTTGCAAAGCACTGTTTGTACTGGGTCCTAAAATAGAGCAACAAAAGTTTTCCTCATAAAGCTTTACAAGTTCCTGATTTCCTACTGTATAAAATGGAGATACATTGAAGGGTTTATGAAGCAGAGATGTGCCAGGATCTTTTTCAAAAAAGACCATTCTAACTGAAACCAGTTTGGCTCAGTGGATAGAGCATCAGCCTGCAGAATGAAAGGTCCCAGGTTTGATTCCAGTCAAGGGCATGTACCTTGGTTGCGGGCACATCACCAGTAGCGGGTGTGCAGGAGGCAGCTGATCAATGTGTCTCTCTCATCGATGTTTCTAACTCTCTAGCACTCTCTCTTTCTCTCTATAAAAAAAAAATCAATAAAATATATATTTTTAAAAAGGATCATTCTATATTTAGTGTGAAGACTAGACTGTGATTGTTCAAGAGTAGAATTAAGGGAAATCAGAAAGGATGTTAGTGCACAGATAGTGGTAATATTTGATTATTATATATTGGCAGAGATAATGGCTGAGAACAGGGAAATAGCCATACTGGGGAAGTGGGGGACACCTGAATTTGTATTTTAAGAAAGGAAAGGTGACAAGATGAGCTGAAAGGACTGGATGTGGAATGTAAGGAAAGAGTCAAGGATGACTATAAAATCTTGGCCTGAGGAATTTGGAGGACAAAACTGCCATCTTTTATCACTGTATTACAGAACCTAATATATACTTGATGTAGTTAAGTGAACCAGTGAATAAACTATAAACTAACCATACCTCTCCCATCTGTTGTTCAATAATTTGATGTGCAATTTCTTCTATGGTTGCCATGATCTAACTGCCAAAATGTCCTGCCAAAAATAAAAGGATAATTTTTTATAATTATACCCATAAAACATATTTAAGAATTCAGAAATGAAATTATATGTTAGGATTTTCCTCAAAGCAATACAGTAAGGTGGGTGGGTTGGGAAGGAAAAAATAAAACAAAATTGACCATGCACTGACAGTTACTGAAGACTGGTTAAGTTTACACAGGGGTTCATAAAATTACCTCTCTGCTTTTATATATTTTGAAAATGTCTATTAAAAAAACTATTCAACCAAAGAATTTCACTTTTCAAAGATACTGAATCCTGAATAGGAGAATTCTACTACAGGTTAGGAGTAGTTTATGAACTTAAACAAGGGTAATCCTATCTGTAAACAAATACATCTCTATAGCCATTTAATATGCTCTTATCAAACATTATAAAAACCGACAAAATAATTGCATTCATTCAGAAGGATGGAAGATTTCTCTAGAATCACTTCACTAATGATCATTCTTCATGAGTGGCAATTTCTTATATATTAAGGTTAAATGAATTTAATGAGCCTGTAAGATTAGTAATTTGATTTTGACTTGGTTTTTCTCTATACAGGATAGTCAAGAATATAAAATTTACTTCTGGCTTTATATTATACTAGAGGCCCAGTGCATGAAATTTGCCTCCCTTCTTCCCCAGAGCTTCCCTCCCTTCCCCAGCCAGCCTCGGCCCCTGGTAAAACTCCCAGATAAACTCCCAATTGAGGGGAAAATAGGCATACTACGATTTTATTATATAGGATATTGTTTGTCATAAACTCATTAATATTGGGTGATTATAATTAATACTGTCAAATTATCTGAATTGATTACTTTTATTAAAATTATAAATGTTAATTAGTTGTGCTAAAAAGCAATGTTCAATATTTAGTATGATTATTCAACTCTCTCTGGACTGGAAAGAAGTGGCTTAACTTCTCTGAAACCAACAGAAGAGACAATGCTGCTCCCTGGGCCAGGTCTTCTGACCCATCTTTGAGGCACATTCTTCCCTATTCTTGAAGGATAACACGTTTGAAACTGCATAGCTCTCGCCGAAACCGGTTTGGCTCAGTGGTAGAGCATCGGTCTGCGGACTGAAAGGTCCGGGTTCGATTCCGGTGAGGGGCATGTACGTTGGTTGCGGGCACATCCCCAGTAGGGGGTGTGCAAGAGGCAGCTGGTTGATGTTTCTCTCTCATTGACGCTTCTAGCTCTCTGTCTCTCTCCCTTTCTCTCTGTAAAAAATCAATAAAATATATATATTTTTAAAAACAACTGCATAGCTCTACTGGCCCATCCTGTAGAATCCCAGAAGTCCAAGAGCCTGCCTTTATTTCATCTCATTTGTGTCCTCTTCACTCCAACCTTGGCAGCATTTCTGCTAGTATAAGATCCTCAAAAATCTTGTTCTGTGCAATTCATGGTGGTACATGTGGTACAAGTCATCCAAGAGAGTCCCCTGCAAATCTCTCCTAGATAAACGATCTCTATTCCTGGCTTCTGTTGAGATGACTGATTGGATCAATATATCACAAGCCCATAATCTCTTTAGCAAAACAGTGCCCAAATCACCCAAACCTGGGTAGTCTCTTCAGAACAAGCTTTCTCCTTTTTTACAATATAGATAAGCGGAGAATTTTCTAAAATCTTCAACTTTTTGGATTCTATATTTCTCAATAACTTCAATTCATCTCTCCTTTCACATTTTAATCTAAGTAGCAAAGGGAAATCAGGCTGCATCTTCAAAACTTTGCTTAGAAATCTCCTGAGATAAGTATTTGGGCTTATCACTCACAAGTTCTACCTTACACAAAACACTAGCATACAACATAGCCAAGTTCTTTGCCACTTTATAACAAGGTTCCCTTCATCCAGTTTCCAATAACATGTTCATTTTCTTCTGAGATCTCATCAGAAGATCTTCAATGTATGTCTTTAATGTATGTCTACCAACATTCTGTTTATGATACATGTATATATCTCTAAGATGACAGCACCTTTTTCTACAGTTCTCTTCTTTCTGAACCCTCACCAGAATTGCCTGACATCCATATGTCTACCAAAAACTTAAGGCAAACCAGGTTTTTTCTAGCATGCATCTCAAAACTCTTCCCATTTCCCAGGTCCAAATTTTTAGATATAGGTTATAACAGCAACTCACTTCCCAGTAATAAAAGTTGTACTGGTTTATTAGAATTGACATAACAAAGTAGTAGCACAGGTTGGGTGATTTAAACAACAAAAATGAATTTTCTGGGTTGGACAAGCATTACCACCATTTGTCCACCATCTAGAACTGAAATATCATTGCTGACATATACACATAAGAAACTGTTTGACATTGAAATTGGGTCTCAAAAGAACTGTTGGCTCAGAAAAAAACTCACTATAGACTGATTCATTTGCCTTTCAGCATAACCATTATGGCTTGTCTTATTTTCCAATCTTTTATTTTATATATATATTTTATTGAATTTTTAAAGAGAGGGAGAAGGATAGAAAGTCAGAAACATTAATGAGAGAGAAACATCGATCAGCTGCCTCCTGCCCACTCCCCACTGGGAATGTGCCTGCAACCAATGTACATGCCCTTGACCGAAATTGAACCTGGGACCCTTCAGTCTGCAGGCCAATGCTCTATCCACTGAGCCAAACCAGTTTCGGCTCATTTTCTGTTCTTAAAAGTGTATTTCCAGTAGGACATCATCTCACTCATCTAGGGGAAATGATGAACAACACAGACTGATGAACAAGAACAGACCCAAAGACAAGGAGCCATGGGTCAGACTGCTGAACCTCAGAGGGAGGGAGGGGATAAAAGCGAGAGATCAACCAAAAAACTTGTGTGCATACATATGAGCATAACCAGTGGTCAAGGACAACAGGGGGGTGGAGACAAATGTGGGGAGGGATGGGGAATGAGAATGGGGGGATGAGGGCAAATATGTGATACCTTAATCAATAAAGTAATTAAAGAAAAAATTTCTCACAATTTTCAAGGCTAGAAGTCTGAGACAAGCAGTCCAAGTCTGAGTTAACAATATTGGTTACTTCTGGGACCTATCTCATTGCCTTGTACATGTTCATCTTCTTTCTTTCTTCACATGGCTACACTTTGGTTTATATCGGTGTTGTAATCTCTTCTTACAGGGACAATAGTCAAATTGTATTAGGGGCCATCCTACCTGATCTATTTTAACTCAATTACTTCTTTTTAAAAAAAAAAAAAAATATTTTATTGATTTTTGTACAGAGAGGAAGGGAGAGAGATAGAGAGTTAGAAACATCAATGAGAGAGTGTCATTGATCAGCTGCCTCTTGCACACCCCCTACTGGGGATATGCCCGCAACCAAGGTACATGCCCTTGACCGGAATCGAACCCGGGACCCTTCAGTCCCCAAGCCGACGCTCTATCCATTGAGCCAAACCGGTCCGGCATCAATTACTTCTTTAAAGACTACATTTGTAAATACAGTCCCAAAATGAGGTACTGTGGTCAGAACTTCAATATATAAATTAGAGGGTGTGGGGGAGAGACAATTCAGTCCATAACACTTTAGGCATAAATCTAATAAGAAATGTGCAAGATCTATGTAAAGAAAGTTTTTAAATGCTACTTAGAAAAGGGAAAGTTATCTAGAAGAACACTAAGAAAAGGTTAGTGACTACCTTCAAGGAGAACTGGAAATCTAGTAACAGGATGGAACGACAACTTACTTTTCACTGAATAAGTTAGTTCCTTTACAATTTTAATTATTGTGTGACGCACATGTATATGTATGTATCAATGTATAGGTTCAGGCTTAATTGTATACTCTGTCATTAGCAATGCTACAGGTAACAATACTAATGGATTTTAATGTTAATATTGTTGGAAGAGTATTCTTGAGTACTGAATTCAGGGATATTTAGGTGTGTATGTTTTGTGGGGTTTTTTTCTGTTTAGGAAAAGCAAGAAACTGTAATGGATTCATCACCTTTTTGGAGGTTACAAACTTCTTAGAGAATCTGACTAAAGCTACATACTCTTCAAAAAATATAAACATACTTATATTTGAGGGATTCTATTTTGTGACCCAACACAGCAACTTTCTACTTCTCGCTATAAAAACGCTCTGCATTGCTAAAACCAGTTTGGCTCAGTGGATAGAGCGTCGGTCTGCAGACTGAAAGGTCCCGGGTTCATGTACCTTGGTTGTGGGTACATTCCCAGTAGGGGGTATGCAAAAAGCAGCTGATCGATGATTCTCTCTCATCAATGTTTCTAACTATCCCTCTCTCTTCATCTCTGTAAAAAATCAATAAAATAAATTTAAAAAAAACAACGCTCTGCACTACTGCAGTTGTCTAGAGTCATTATGTCTTATCCTATCAAATAAAGGGTAATATGCAAACTAACCATCATTCCGCTATATCCACAAGCCATGCCCATCAGCCAATTAGGAGCAAGTATGCAAATTAACCCAACCAAGATGGCTGTGGCCACAGAGAGAGCAGGAGGCTTAGGTTTCCCCAGCAACGGAGGAAGCCAAGTTTTCTGCATATCCTGGTGGGCCCAGGCCCCCACTCAAGGCTACCCAGTTTCAATTATAGAAGATAAATAAATCCCAACAACAATGGTGGCAGCCACGGAGCTGGAGCGAGCAGGAGGCTTGGGTTGTCCCCAGTGATAGAGGAAGCTTAGCTCCCGCAGCCCTGGCCTCCGCTACAAAGTTTCAATTATAGAAATAAATAAATCCCAACATAAATGGATGCAGCATGGAGCAAGCAGGAGGCTTGGCTCTGCTCAAGACCACAAAGTTTCAATTATAAATCCCAGATACCAGGGCCTCAGCTTGGGTCTCCAGGGTGTGTGACCGGCTTGCAAACCACCACAGGCCCCTCGCCCAGGCCACCCCACGCACCAAGGAACCCCCATCCTGATCCGGGATACCCTTCAAGGCAAACCAGCTGGCCCTCACCCGTGCACCAGGCCTCTAT